AGTTTTAGTTGAGTCTTCATAACACAAGTCCAAATCTAGGACCAGTATCCATTATCTGAGTTAAGTCTCAAATACTTGGGTCCAAGTCTGAGGTGAGTCCCGGTTACTAAAGTCTTAGTTGAGTCTTTATTTCTCAAGTCGAAGTATGATAGGGGTTATCTGAGCCTGAGCCGCAAGGTGAGTCCCCATAGACTAAGTCCAAGTTCGTGAGTCCCCTCTGTCTGTTTCCTTGTCAAGTCACTGGTGAAACCAGAGCTGAGGTTAGTGCTCATCACCTGAGTCAAAGTCCTTGTCTGGGTCTTGGTACCTTAAAGATTTGTAGGACTGCTGTTTTACTTCAAACCACTCACTGTCTAAACCCTGGCCATCTGTTTGGGGTCCTTTTCCCTTTAAGGATTGATTAAGTAACTTGACCTAATTCATTTAACTTAGCTTAACTTAACTTAACTTAACTTGACTTAACTTGACTTCACTCATTTAACTTAGCTTAATTTAACATGACTTAATTTAAGTGAAGGTAAGGTTAAACTTAAACTTAACTTAGCTTGACTTGACTGGTTTGACTTGACTTGAATTGACTTGATTTGACTTGACTTGACCTAACTTAACTTAACTTATACTTAAACTTGACTTGACTTAACTTGACTTATCTTAACTTAACCTAACTTTACTATACTTAACTTGACTTATCTTACGTAAACCTAAAAGGACTTGAATGGCTCTTATTTAACTTATCTTAACTAAACTTAAAATGACTTGACTTGCCTTTATTTAACTTAACTTGACTTAACTCATTTAACTTAGCTTAACTTAACTTGACTTAATTTATCTTAGGGTAAGCTTAAACTGAAACTTAACTTACCTTGACTCGACTTAAGCTAACTTAACTTAACTCTACTTAACTTGACTTAACTCATTTAACTTAGCTTAACGTAACTTGACTTGATTGATCTTAACTTAAGTTAAGGTAAGTTTAAACTTAAACTTAACTCACCTTGATTTGATTTGACTGGACTCGACTTGACCTAACTTAACTTAACTCAACTTAACTTAACTTAACTTGATTTAACTCATTTAACTTACCTTAATTCAACTTGACTTGACTTAACTTAACTTAACTGAAGTTAAAGTTAAACTTAACTTGACTTGACTTAACTAGACCTTTGAATGAGCTGATAGCACTCTTCATTTTTTAACATCTGTTGGCGTGTTTTGAGGTAAATCATCAAACAGGTTTCTGCGTTGTGCGTAAACGTGACCGAGTCTCTCTCTACACCATGTCGTCTTATAATCCATCCATGACTGCTGCTTCAGCGTTGACAATCTAGTTACCTAACAAGCTTTATTTATAAACTGTGCACGCCAAATATAGCAGTCTGATTGAGCATAACAAGTCCGAGCATGTTCACTGGGTCGTCCAAAGTAATTCTGGAAAATGTAGGACATGGCTAAATAAAACAGAGTCCCATTCATCACACGGGAAGAACACGATTCGAACAAACTCAAACAACTTTATTAATCCCTCAAGGGGCAATTTGATTAATGATATTTAGTCTACATACACAATGCTGCAGTCTTCCTGTAACATGCAGCGGTGTGTTTCTATATTGACAGAGTTGACGGAGCAGTCTGAGTATTCAGGGAGTGTGTTCAGGGAGGAAGCGGTGCGCGGTGCCAATAGGAATAGGAAGAGGGAGTTCCTCCAGAGATAGACAGAGGAGGCTGTTAACACATACACACTGAGCTCTATATAGACTGACACCGTTCCACACATACCTCGCTCGCACTCTCGACGACTGCCGGCTGCCCGACTCTCTAATCCCCTCTCCGCTCTCTCTTTCTCTCCTTTTCTCCTCCTCTTTCACCATCCTCCCCTCCTCCCCCTTTTTCCTCCGTCCTGCCAACTCACACTTCTCTCCTTCACCCGCTGATTCCTCTCGTCTGTGCGCTCGGCCTCTCTCAGGTTTCCCTTACTCATGTTCTTCTTTCTCTTCTTCTCTCCGTTACAGACTTGGCACAAAGCCACAAACAAGTCAAATATAACTCTCACATCCCTCTCTGCCGTTCCTCTTCCTCCTCCAGGACTGAATGTGGCCTCTATCCTTCTGTCCGTCTCCACATTAGAGCTTTATTGAATGTGACTCCGCTGTGTCTCTGCAGAAGAGTCGACCTGCACCTAATTAAATGTTCGCTTTTTTTCCCACAGAGCAGAGTGAGCGTTTGAGGATCTCCTGTCCGATTCATTATGCAGTTTATAATCTGTGGAGGTTCATTAGTGAGCGAGAACAAAACATATTCAAGTGGGAATCAGTCTGCAAGTCAGGAGAAGAGTTCACAGGACAGAGTCACGGTTCCAAGTGGGCTCAATCTTAGGCCATGTCCACGTTTCAGCATGCTAACTTAAATGCAATTTCAGGTTGTTTGGTTGCCTACTAAATGGTTGCATCTCTTCTATTGAAGGAGGTCGGCAAAAACAGCTGAAAGACGAAGAAGATCAGCTCCTGTGCTCACAGAAGAAGTTTAATTTAGTTGTACAGATCTGCATCCACGAAAAGCCAGAGACCAGAGCGGGCATCAGTGACCATAAACATATGACACCCTGGATGTCTCGAAAACTTAATGAACTTTTTACAAGGGGACAAGGGGTTAAAGTGTTGTGCTGCGTTCAAGTAACCTCGGAAGTCAGATGTCGGAGCTGGAAATGACGTCACACCCAAGTCACCAGCGTTTCAGTTACCAGGTTGGAAAAAAAAGCAAAATCGGAGGTGGAAACAAGATGGCTACTTCTACAAAAGTTATTTTAGGGCTAGCCTTGTCCTTGTTATATTCGGACGATATTTTCCGATTTTACGCTGGTGACTTGGGTCTGTCGTCATTTTCAGCTTTGACATCTGACTTTCAAGGTAACTCGAACGCAGCATAACACTTCCACCCAAATTTGAATGATTTTTTTCCGCTAGTCCCCTTGTAAAAAGTTTGTCAAGTTTTCAAAACATCCAGGGTGTCATAAACATCTGGACAAAAGTCTGTGAGCTTTTCAAAACCTTTGTGAAGCTCTGATCTCAGCTGTCTGAGAGCCAACTCTGGGTGGAAAAAAAGGATGACAACAATTTTGTGTAATAAAATCCAGCCTGTCGATGGTTTTAGTTGAATTTCCACAGATTTTAAGGAACCTTCCCATGAAATCTTTTCATCGGAGCAGGACAAGGGTTCCTTTTTGAGAGGTGGAAATCATTGATTAATTTGCGGATGATTTTTTCACGTGGTCAGAAAAGTTCAAAGACTCTCAGTCCGAGTTCGTACGTCAGCGAGTGAACACATCAGATTTTCTGTCCTCATTTCAGAGGTATCTTCAGTCTTGTTGGTTTAAGATGACGAGCCGCGGGGGCCAAACCTTCTCCAAAAAAACACAAACAACAGAGGTTGACTGTTACGCCGCCTCACGAGTCCTGTGTGTAGTGTAAGAGGATGCACTTGAACATGCACGGGTTTTAGCGACAGTCTGGATCTGAAAAAGCGTAAAACGAATGACTGTGTGCGAATCTTTCTCACGCGAGTGGAGCTCCACTGCTTTAGTTTTCTTTGATTTCTACTTATGAGTAAACTCAACACCACAAATGATCGATAAAAGCCTAATTGTTTTCATATCACTCCTCAATAACTCTCAGTAACTATTTAAATGTGGTCTGGTTTTATGCAGATAAAGCTTTGAGGCGGCTGCCCTCCCCGAAATTCAAATGAGCCTAAAATGTCCCCTCTGACCTCCCGTAGCCTCAGAACAAGCTAATGGAAAGAGCTGTGCCACTCCTCTTTCTTTCCTCTTTACATTTGTTTTCCTTTTCAGCAACCCCGCTCCCTCCTCCCCCTCAACCTTCCCCTCTTCAGCCCCCCTCTCTCTTTCCTGCTCCCCACTTTCTTCCATGGCCTCATCCTCCCCTCTTTTCCTCTATTTCTGTCCCCTCTCTCTCTCCCTCTTTCTCCTCATCTGTGCAGGAGCGTGTTAATCCCATTACACATGTGTGAATACCAGCTGGAGGAGAGCGGACTGAGAGACAGACAGAAAACAGAGTGAGGAGTGAGGAGAGAGGGGAGAGGCGGAGGGGGGGAGACGGGAACAGAGAGTGTTTGTGTCCCACTGAGTCTGACTACAAACTCGACCACTTTGTTGGTTTCATGCAAAATCCCCTCATGTTGTGTGATGGAGTTTATCGTCGTATAATGTTATTCATGGTCATCAGATATGGGAGTTTTTACTCTCTGACTTTAGTGAAGCAGAAGGATGAAAATTACTTTTTATGCTCTAAAAACAATAATGGTAGTTTATTTTAAATCATTCGATCTTTTCGTGGATGAAGGATAATTTTCTGTCTGATTTGATTTTTCGTGACAAAACGATTCCCGCGCACAAAGACTCCCAAAAACAACTGGAAACACTGGAGTGTGAATGCCAGGCCAGTAGTTGGCAGTATAATCAAGGTCTTTGGCCCCGGTACACCGTGCACCAGATCCACCAGCTGAGCCATACCTGCACCCCGGTTAGAAAGTGTCAGACCGAATCTCTGGAAATACTTTGTTAAAATGAAACTTAAAGGGATATTTTAGCGTAAAGTTAATTATAATAATGCTCAGAACAGCACCTAACTTCATCAACAGGACATATAGGGTCACAGCCATAGTACTAGACACCAAAGATCTTTTTAACTGTGACTAATTTCTTTAGGAAAGAGACTAAACACAACTCACCTACTCTCTTCCAGTAGCCGCTTGTTTGTAGGGAGATCTCAGGCCAGTCCATTACTGACTACAGCGGGGTGACGCAGCTCAAGGAAGAACATTTATGATCATTTCTTCATGGAAAAACAATCGGACTGAGACGCTAAGGCAGAAGAACTACTGTGTCTGCAGTGTAAAATGATTAATATGGTGATTATTACTTCAGGGAAATGATAAAGAAATGATGCCTGTCGACGTCATTTCATTCTTGTTGTTCATTTAAAATCCAGAGGAGGCAGAAATTATGATATCAACTTTGTCACAGATAATGGCAGAGATCTATACAGGGTAAATACTGGCCTTAATTATGTTTCCAGGAACAATTTCCTGCTGCTAATGCTACAAAGCAATATCTATTAATTGTTTTTACACTTTCTTTATTGAATTCCATTAAAGAAAAGCAAATATTAAAATACAGAGTAGTTTAAAACACACCATGAGACATCTTTTGTAACCTAGCAACAGGAAGTGCCCATTGAGAAGGACTCTGAATGTGAGGATGCGGGCGCTGCTGTCAGCGGAGACAGGCCCTTAAGCTCCTGTGAGGAGTTTATAGCAGGTAATAAAGCAGTCTGAAATTATTACTGATGTCTCTTTATGATCAACTGAAGCAAACAACACCACCAGAGGAAAGGTGGCTTCTATATAGTTTATATCTATGGATGTCAACTCGCTGCACGGTTGACAGTTTGCTCGACAACTTCTTTCTTTTTTTTGTAGGAAAGCACCACTTGTGTATTTGCAGGACAAGATTTTTGAAATGATTAAAAGACTCCACAAGGGGGCGCTAAAACCAGCCCACCCTGACAGTCCCTCACAGGAGCTTTAACTGTCTTTTCTTTCCTTTAGTGATACCCTTTAGATGTGTTTATTTCACGGGTTTTCAGAGATTTCAGGTCATGAGGAAGAGACGCTGACTGGTAAATTCAGTGAAGTTTGGATCAGGATGTTTGTTTGTAGATGAGGAATATAAGGAAGGGAATTAAGCACCAGTAAAACCTTTAAATTGAACTAAAGAGCAGAACTTCTTTCCTCGTGCTGGAAGAGGAAAAAGTCGAAGTGTGAGTCACACATGAGGCCCACTTCTTGCTGGATTTCTCCCTTTTACATGACACTTAACTTTCCCAGGATGTTAAACCGACGTTTTAAAATTACATTTTCCGTGTTTGAGGTGTTGCTTGTTTTGGTTCTGACCCGGTCTTTGTGATTCAGAGCCGGTTGCCCGGTTTTTTCGGGGGAGGCGATGAGGCTGCGAGCGAGACAGTGCAGACAGGCCCAATGTGGCTCCTGAAGGGTTCAAGCGCCAAGAAAATAAACAAGCCTTTTGATCACAAAGGGCCCATTCACTCCCTCTCACTCTGCCTCACACTCTCTTTCTTTCTCTCCCCCCTCGTCCTCCCCCTCCCCCCTCCACTTATCCTTGGTAGTTTCTCCTCAGCTCCCCTCTCCTGACCTCCATCCTTAAAAAAAAACTCCTTTTTTCTCTTTGCTGTAATCTAGATTTTGTTTTATATCTTTAACACTCTTAAACAGTCAGCTTTGACTGAAGGACACACATCATCTGACCAGCCAGGGGGCACACACACTCGCACTCACACACACACTCACACACTCACAGACAAGGGCCTCCTTATTCCACAAACATACGGTCATGCTGCAGAGCAGAGGAACGCGACATGGAAAATGTCTTCATCACTCATCTTTTGCTCAAAACACGAATACTTTCCCCTCGGGCCACTCGTGCACATTCTGCTGTCACGAAGCTGCCTCGTTATGCGACTGTGTGAGTGTGTGTGTGTGTGTGTCTGAGTGTGTGTTTTCTTATGCATGCAGATGGGGCTGGTGTGAAAAGGCCTCTCCCAGTGCAGTTGTGTTGTGGAGCGTTAGTGCGGTTCAGGCTGGGTGTGGCTCTGTTACCATTTGCCCCCTCAGGCCTGTTTTCCATTTTTAAACACACCAGATTTCCTCGGATAGAAAACACTTACCTACCCAAACAAAGACATCAACGCCGCCCTCTGTGAGCTTTACAACACGGAGATAATACTGACATTGCATGCTTGATTAATAACTTCAAAGTGTGGTTTTGCATGCTAAAAACTGTGATAGATGACTTGATACTAAAATACTAATATTTTACAGTTTAAGGAGTTAACATGCTCTGTTTTAAGATTTAAATATGAAATCGTTTGTGTTTGGATACTGTAAAAAAAACAATAATATGAAGATCAACTTATTTCATGACTGACAAAAACTCCCAAGAGGAGCTTTAAATGAATCAAGATAAGTTGTGACTCCTCTTTCCCTGGACTTTACAGGTCAGCTGATCCCCACAACAGACCAAAACAAGATGGCAGCCTCTATTTATAACACTATTTCACAGAAACTTAAACATTAAGGTCCTTACACACTGGGAACGACGCAAATATACAACACAATATTACAAAATATTCGCGCCTGACTATAAACATCAAGCGCAATGCAATTTTGCGACTTTTCGGGGGGGAAACGCTGCATCACGGGTGGAAGTGAGAAGACTGACCCACCCCCGGTGTGTATGGACCTTTGATCATCACAAGTTACCTTTGGTTTTGATGGATTGGATCCAGAAAGTCTTTAAAATCACGCTGATCTTCTCTGTGGGATAGAAATGTCCCCGGGTGGTGCAGAAACAGACAGCTGCCGGTCTCACGAAGCGAGTGGATTTCACAGCAAATGCAACAGTATTGGGTTAACACTGCAGATTTATGATGAGCTCTAAAGTCATTATAAATCTAAATAATCAACAAAATCCTCTCCAGTTGAATAAAAACATTAAACTGGGAAGTTTATTTTCCTCACAGGAGCTTTAAAAACATTATCAACAAATTTCCTATGATCAGACGCTTTAAAACACCCCCACTCCATTATCTCTGAGCCTCTTTCATTTCTTCATCACTTACCGATCAGCTGTGATTGATAGCTCCTGTTTACTGATGAGGGTCATTACCAGCCAGTAATGAACTGAAGCTGACTCTGCTGATCAATTAGTCCCAATCACAGCGCCAATTCACACGCACGCAGCCGTCCCACCTCCTGCTGAGCTTCTGTAATGCTGCTTTCACATGTAGATGATAATGTTTGCATCCCCCGACACCACCGCCGCCAACACTCTGTGTCCCTGCTGCTGCTTTAAGACTCTGTTGTTTCCACTGCTGACTTCTCAAATCAATAAGATCGCAGCTCATGTTAGGATCAGAGATATTGAGCGATTATATATAAAGATGCTCCCTACAGGGCGGTTTCTCTCTTCCCACTGTTTGATATCATCACGCCGGGCAGATGTAACACAACAGAGTTCACACTTTCACCTTCAGGTGTTTGTCTCGGCTTGCCCTCAGGTGGAGCAAAAGGTCAGAAGGCAGAGCAGAGGGAGGAAAAGTGAAGAGTCAGCAACACTGGAGCTGAAACAGCAAACAGACCTTCAGCACAGGGAGACGATTTGATTTGTATAACAACAATGATTTTATTTGGTTATTAACTCTGAAGCATCTCTGACTGTGATGTATAAAAATATCTGTCCTGAACAAAGTACAATTTAAGAGTTTTTATATATTTTTAGGGTGAAGATTTTCCTCTATTCTTCATCTTCATCTTCATTCGACTGCAGCATGAAAATCTTGGTGTTCAGAGAAAATAAAACAAGTCAAGAAGTTTCCTTTCATCATTTTCACCCTTTTTGAAGCACAAGACCAAACAGGTAAGAGTTTTAGTTTGATATTTCACAAGATATACCTTTAGAGATGAGAGATTTTATATAAAGTGGTATACACATTTGTCCACAAACAAAGTCCATCTAGGTGAACCAGGATAGAGGGGTCCTTCAGAGACTTAAAGGGATATTCTGGTGTAAAATAAACTTAGGGTCAAACACACCATAACACAGAGTTAGACAACCCCTCGAGAGTGAATGTTGCCAACCGCTTGCTTCTCTAGTTATACCAACTTTAGTAACGACCGCAGCCATGTGATCAACCAAAACGCCACTCTATAGCCACAAATAATGCTCAGAACAGCACCTAACTTCATCAACAGGACATATACTGTAGGGTCCCAGCCATAGTACTAGACACCAAACATCTTTTAATTTTGCCTCATTTCTCAAGCAAAGAGACTAAACACAACTCACCTACTCTCTTCCAGTAGCCGCTTGTTTGTAGCGAGATCTCAGGCCAGTCCATGATGGACTACAGCGGGGTGACACAGCTAAAGGAAGAACATTTATGATCATTTCTTTATGGAAATACAATCAGACCGAGACGCTAAGGCAGAAGAACTACTGCGTCTGCAGTACAGAACGATTAATATGGTGATTATTACTTCAAGGAAATGATAAAGAAATGATCAAAAATGTTCTTCCTTGAGCTTCGTCACCCCGCTGTAGTTGATGGACTCTAAGCATTATTTGTGGCTATAGAGTGGCGTTTTGGTTAAGCGCGTGGCTCTCTGTATTGCCACTCTGTGGTCCTTACTAAAGTTGGTATAACTAGAGAAGCAAGCGGTCGGCAGCATTCATCTCTCTAAGGGGTGTCTAATTCGGTGTTACGGTGTGTTTGATTCTAAATAAATTTTACGCCGGAATATCCCTTTAATATAGACACCAGATTACAGCTGCTGGGTTCTGGCAGGCAAACTTTGGCAAGAGGTCCAACAGTTTATTTACTGTTATCTATAAAATAAAACTGTGGATGAATCATGAGTGGATGTAAGTTTCAGTTGTGGGCATGTTTGTAGTAAGAGAGGGACGTCAGAGGAGAGGAGGTATAGAGAGAGAGAGAGAGAGAGAGAGAGAGAGAGAGTAGTAGGTGAGGAGGAGGAGGCGAAAGCTTGTAGCATGCAGGCAAAGTTACAAAACTGAGGAGGATGAAGGACCCACACCGAGAAGGAGAGTAGGAGTGTGACGTGGGGTGGGGGGGTGTTCTGAGGAGGCACATGTGGAGGAGAAGAGCCCACGGAGGAGGAGGAGGAGGTGAGAAAGTGTGGGACAGCAGCAGAGAGGAGAGCAGTGGTGGATGATGATGATGATGAGCCCTGCTCTGTTGTTTTGTTGATGTGTTTGTGTGTGGTTGTGACAGTGTGACAATCATATGAAATACTTCACCCACCCGCTGGCCTTCACTTCCCACACGCTGCCACTCAGAGGACACGAGGGACGAGGAGGAGATGGATGAATGGATGGACGGATGGATGGAGAGGAAAAAAAGAGGTGAGGCGACTGATTAGAAGGAGAAAAGTAAAGAAGGGAGCTACCTTTAGTCCACCACACTCTTGGGCTCTCCACTTCATTTCCCTCCAGCTCAGGCTCTTGAGTAATTACTGCTCCTTTCTTTCTCCCTCTGCTGCCTCCTCAGAGCTGATGTAAGAGCTGAAGGGCCCTTCATTAAAGAGGATGAGGAGGAGTGTGGGAGAACAGAGCTCTGTGTGAGTGTGTGTGCGCGGCTGAAGGTGAAGTAACAGTTCATGTAAATTTCAGTGCCACCGTTTATTCCTGCGGGACAAAACACCTGTTGATTGGCCTTTCCCTTCAGTCCCCGTGTTAAAAAATGGCGGCTGACGGCTCCCTGGCTGCCTCGTTCTCGCTGTTTACAGGTAAACACGGCGCCTCTCATCACCCGCGGCGATAACGGGTCTCCACGGCAACGACGTGACGCGGCAACCGGGAGCGAGCGGAGCGACAAATACAGCAGGCAGCAGCAACGGAGGCTCCGGCGGGCAGCATCGGCAGCAACTGGTCCTTGTCGAAGATCATCTATTAAGCTGATGAGTCACTCGGAAGAACACGAAAACAAGTTTTGTTCCTGTTGAGTTTGTTGTGTTTACTCCGTAAGTACAGGGGTGTTCTGGGCTTGGAGGGTAAGAGTGCCCCCCCCCCCCCCCAACAAAAAAGTAAATAAAATAAAGAATGTAAAAAAAATCAATATAAAAATTAAAAGTACCCCCTGTATGACTCTTGCAATGAGTGAAACTATATAATAAATGCCCCTTGGATCACCCTTGCAACCAAAACGCCACTCTATCGCCACAAATTATGCTCAGAACAGCACCTAACTTCATCAACAGGACATATAGGGTCCAAGCCATAGTACTAGCCACCAAACATCTTTTCAGAGAGACTAAACACAACTTACCTACTCTCTTCCAGCAGCCGCTTGTTTGTACAGAGACCTCAGGCCAGTCCATTACGGACTACAGCGGGGTGACGCATCTCAAGGAAGAATATTTATGATCATTTCTCTATGGAAATGCAATCAGACCGAGACGTTAAGGCAGAAGAACTACCACGTCTGCAGTGCAAAATGATTAATATGATGATTATTACTTCAAGGAAATGATAAAGTAATGATCATGAATGATACTCCAGCAACATTCATCTCTCGAGAGGGTGTCTAACTTGGTGTTACAGTGTGTTTAAAAGTGCCCTCTTGGATGCCTTTCCATTTCATGACATGAAACGTGATGAAGTGCCCCCTGAATGCTCCTTCAGGAAATAAAACGCAAAATTAAATGCCTTCTGGGTACTTTTCCACTGAATAAAGAGTAAAGCCACAGTCTGGATATCCTTCCTTTGAATTAAATGTAAAACAGGGTGCCTTTTTAGTTTTCTTCCTTGCTTCATAACTCAATTGGAAAACTGTACCAGCTCTGAATCCTTCAGACTGGGCCTACCTACGGCTCCAGTTGCCCGCCTAATTTTCTTCAGCCCACTTATACTTTTGACAGGATAGTACCAGGATAAAACAGCAGGTAGCTTTATTACCAACAAAAAAACTGATTTTTTTTTTTTTTTTTTACATATTTTAATATATTTAGAGACATAATTGATTATGTTTGCTTTCCTAACAGTCTAATTATCTTACCAGTCACAGTCGACCTCCAAGTAATCGTCTATGTTTTCAGAAACTTGAAAACATAGACGATCTTTGGCAACAAGTGGGCGTTCAATTCCTCTCCCCCTCCCTCCCTCCGTGGGTCAGCGTGGGCGGCCCCGTGTGGCAGGAGGAGAGCGAAACACGACACCCCGACAGAGGAAGGGGGGGTTGAGAGAACACGAAGTGAGTGAGTTAGTGAGTGAGTGAGTGAGTGAGTGGAAAAAGAAAAAGTCCGTGCCGGAGAAAGAGAGGCGCAGAGAAAGAGCAGAAAGAGTTCGGTTTCGGGTTTTTTTGTTCCTGACACGAGCAACCGCTGCTGTTGAGGATGAGGATGTGGAGGAAGAGTCGACCATGCGACATCGTTGCAACAAACGAGATGAAGATTTAGACCCGTTGCATTCCGTTGCTCCAGCACCAACACACGGCAGCACGATTCCTCCAAAACTTCGACCTGCGCCATTCAGACCCGGGCGACTGGATCTTCCCCCTGAGACTCCGGGAAACTTTTATCCCCCCCGTGCTCTCTAACTCATACTCCGGCTTCAAACTTTTTGAGTTCGCGCCGATGTGCCAAGATAAAAACCGAGAAGCTCATGAAAAGTTAGCGGATGTTTTTTGAACTTTGAAGCCGCCTGGGAGGGCTCTTTCTGCGGAGCCACTTCTGAGAACAACACCGGAGGACGGAGTGGGACGTCACTGCTAACTTGGCGAGCTAACTTCGCTAACGGCTGGCTAACTGTTAGTCTAAAGTTACGTGTCGACGGAGAAAGTGACTGAAGCGGCGCAAAGAAGACGACAACAAAGATGAAAACCCCGGGAGAGCCGGGTAAGTGTGGTGTGATATTTTTTTAATGTTTTAAAATCTTTTATTCAGACTCGAAACTAACCGCTAGTCCTTAAATGAAAACAACAGCAGCAGCAGCGGATTAGCTTCGCAGGCTAGCTGGTTAGCACGCTAACGAACTCTCCGCTCCAGGGGAAAGTGTGACAAAATTATGGCGCTTGGCTGGGGTGGATCCGTCCGAGCCTCTTGTTATTGTTTCGGCACCGACCTTCCAAACGCATGGCAATGTAGTTATTTCTAATTCAAAGTGGATTCAACAACATCCAAGTTTATTTTTACTGTTTGAACATCATTATTTAAACAAATACTGCGATCAATCACCCTCCATTTGTGGTCAGAAGATCACGAAGGGGCATCGTTTAGTGATATAGATTATGATCATGAGTCAGTGGAGCCGAAAGAGAGCAGTAAAAACATATGAAAGATGGATGAAACAGCAATCAAAGGATATAATCCAATAAAAAGTGCCTCAAACTGTTGGTGCATTATCAAAACTCTTAATTTAAGTGGAACTACTTTGTCAAAACTTCCCACATCTCCATTAACTCAAACTGAAAACCATATTCACACAGTTATTATTACATACCTATGTTTTACACTGATGTAACAAAACTCCAACACACAGAAGTGTATCACACTCAAATGTATGAAGTGTGTGGAAACAAGTTTCCCTTTTCTCACTGTAGTGATGTGTGTGTGTGTGTGTGTGTGTGTAGGGGGGTTGCACTGAGATAGCATTTACAGTAGCCTGCTTCATGCACATTCAACACAAATGTCCCTTTCTTCATATAGTGTGTGATTTCACCTGTGTTGGTTCAACAACAAGCATTACAAAGGAAATCAGTGCCTAAATGATAAACAAGAAATGTATATTATATTGATAAAGCAATGCAAAGAGTAATGCGAAATGCTGTGGGATTTATCAGTCTATATTTTGCTCGATCCTGGTCAGGCCAGAGAACCTAATCCACGCTGACAGAGATGTTATTTCTTGATCTAATTAACTAACACCTGTTTGACCCTTCAGGCCTCTGTGTTCTTTCTATTGAGTTTGTACAGGTCTGAAAGGACCAAGATCATTCAGGTTAAAAACAAGTTGCATCAAGTTTTCAGAATTATGTGCGCAATAGTTAGATTATCTGTGTGCATAAAACCAGGGGGTAAACATGATTATTGTGCTGGCTGCTTTGTTTGGTCATATTTGGCAGAACACTTCCATGAATTTCCATGAAATGGTATCTTTTGGTAACAGGGAGTTAGGAAGAGCAGGCGTGTGTTAGTAAAGTAGAGGGATGTGGGGAGCAGGAGGAGGGAAGTTATGATCTGGAACATTGTGGACAGTCAGGCTTGAGTAGACAAGATGAGAGTAACACAAAGGGGTTTATTCCTGACCTGACATCAGGAGGAAGATGTAAAAGATGCTGCTGTAAGGTCTTTGTGGGAGGAAGGTCATTTTCCTATAGAGGCTTAACTCTTAAGGAGATGCAAATGTATTGGCCCCAACCTAGAAAGAAAACCACCTAACCACAGTGTAAAGAATGCAGTGATACGTATCTCAGCTGGAGGGTAACAGGAGAGTAGACAGGACATTTAAGTTAACATAAACTCCTAGATTGGCAGCGAAGAGGTCAAGTTCAGGGCCAAAGTGCTGTAGCCCCAGAGAAGCCTCACATTACAGATTTAGTTTAAGACCTAAATGAAGTGGAACAAATGCATAAAAGAAACAGCAATCATAGAAATTAGTTAGTATCTCTTTGACTGTGCACCCACAAAGTTTCCCTTTATATCTACAAAACAAAGCCAGTACAAACAGGTATGTGGGTTATGTAAATCAAGCACAGTGTGAGGCAGTTATTTGAAAGACATTTGTTTTACATAAGTGATGGGGAAAGTGAAGTTCAGACTAACACACATTTCTGCTTTTCTGTGTTTGTTACATTTTCCTAAATACAAGCGGTGACCTTTTCTCCATCTATCATTACTCTACGGTCTGCAGTGAGAGGTACAAACCAACCACATCATTGGATTAGGAGCCCAGCCGCCATTGCAATTGATAAATTTGAGGTCGCAGAGAGGGTTAACCAAGAAAACATGAAAGATAAAAACGAGGAAATAGAGTTTTCCTCTTTGTACGCATGGTTCAACTTGGTTGCAACTCTTTGTAAGTAAAACTCTTCAACCGTTGACACCGCAGGTTTAATTAACAGCTTTACAAAAGCTGCTTCAAGAACTCGCTTTAACTCAGAGTTATGTTGCACATCCACCTCGAATTCCACTCATTTTTCAAACACGTTTACGGTCACTGAAATGGGTATGATTTTCTTTCTGTAATTTCACTTCCATTGTGTAATTTATTCTCTCTCAAATTCAGTTTAGTCAGACCTCTCGCATGGTAATCTTGGGCGGACAAAGATCCAGTACACATAATGGAAGTTTAAGAGGGGAAAACCGCACCACAACACAACATTATAATTAGAGATATGAGTTTAAAAGTCTCTGCACTGCTTCACATGACTTTATATGATGATAAAACGTTAACTCAAGTAACCTTACTGTGTCACAGAGAGAACAACGTATTTAGGTCATGTATATTAAGATCACCATGCCGACCATTCTTAGAAAGCGTGGGCCATGAGGTATACATTTCACTACATAAGAGCAAAAATCAACTGTAAAAACTCGATTGATCGTAATAACACTGAATCTAATGTAATTGCAGGGCGGTCTGAATCTTCATCGTGGTCATTTGATTTTTCAAGCGCCGCTCTGCCTTATATGCCATCGTGGTCTATTTCAGACGTCAGAACATTGTATTCTCTGCTAATGACTTCCATTATCCAGAGGCCTGGGTTAGCAGGGTTGTGCTACACACTTCCTTTCAGTTTTAAAAGTAGACAGCCTTGTTTTAGCCGCACATCAGAGGACAGCTCCTTTTGGTTTCCTCGCTCTGAGGCCAGCTGACAGCAGTAAGGAGACCAAACTTTTATTGGCGTGTCTGCTCGGCTTTTTAATGACAGCTAACTCGGTTTTTAGGTTTTCTCTAGTTCCTATTTTTCAGTGTTCGCTGAGTGATTCATACTAACTTCCCAAGTTGTCTTTTTGCTCTGGTGAGTCAAGGATCTAAATACAGACATGTTGCTTAAATACACTGATGTTGGTGCTTGTTGTTTAAAAATAGGTTTTTTTTTGCATGGTTGCCTTAGTAATTAAAAGACCAATTCTATTAATAACCATTAAAAACACAGTGTGTAGAAATGGGATTATTTGGCATGGTGCAGCACTTCATTGTAGATTAAAAAAACTCTGTTCGCCCTCCGGCTGATGAAGCATGGATGACCTTTGAGATCAAGTTACTCACATGAAGCACGATCAGCTGGATCCTCCATTTGTCAAGTTTTTAGTGTGGAAATGTCTTTGTCCTTGCACACATGCAGATGCAAAAGGCTCATTTAAAGTCAAAAATCATAACTTCTAATAGTTGGGTGATGATACACTAACTGAACACTACCAAGTCCACCTGCCAGATGTTGTTAAAACTTTAAAATTTAAACTTTAAATAAATCTAGCGAATCAAGTTGACCAAAGAAAATAAACTTGCAGACTATAAAGATGACTTGCATCAAATGGTCATTGATGGCAGCTCAGTTAGCAGCCCCCCTAACCCTGGACTGTTGAACATTAAGTGCATTAAAAAAACATTATTTTTAACCTCTCTATGAAGTATTTTATCAAACTGAATCTGTGGACTTGGTTGTTTTGAAAAGGATGTTGATTAAAGTTTTACTAAATCTGTTGTAGCAGCTCAGCTCCCAGCCCTCTCTCACATCCTAATACTTGTAGTGACTCATGCCTGTGTTGATTGAATAGTCTTGTTTCCACACTGAAGCATTATTAAACTATTCATCGTACTGAACAGGAATATTGATCAATGTGGAGACAAGATGTTTTCACAGGATGCCGTTAGGTAACTGGGATTATGCGTGGAGAAAAAGTGAGCCTTTGTCTGTCCTCTTTGTGTTTCCCCCATGTTGGGGCCGGTTGATGACTGTATGTATATATGGGTCAACCTCCACACTCTTCCTATCAGGAAGTCAGCAGTCTGGCCCCACCAGCTCCAATTTTCCACTAGTGTTACTCCTTATATCAACATAGAGCCACATGTGAGACGTCACAGCTGTAGACGGCCCAGGCACGCTTTGTTGCTCCCTATGTGTGTGTGTGTGTGTGTGTTTGTGTGTGTGTGTGTGTGTGTGTGTGTTACTGTGTATGTGTGGAGTGAAAGGAGCCATACATGAGCAATTAGCTGGTGTAAAGTCTGGTGAGGGCTGCGCTGCTGTTTATGACTGTGTGTGTGTATTTATGTGTTTGTGAGTGTAAAAGTGTGTGTGTGTGCAGTGCAAACTTGTCCGAACCTGTGCGCCCATATGTCTGTCAGCGAGCGGCTCTACCTGACATTGATGTGGTCACAACAAAGTGAGTGTTTGACTTTTACTAGAGACCAAATTGCCCTTGAGGAAGACCATTTGGTTGTGGGCAGTTGACTCAGCCCGTCGTAATTACAGGAAGAGCGACTAGACGTTTATTTTATGCAGATTCAAATAGCTCTAATAACTTCAGGCTCATGCAGTCAAAATATAAGACTGTGTCTAAATCCTCTCTGCTGCGTTACCCTCTCACCGTCGTACTAAATTATGCTTTTTGGCAGCAGCAGCAGCAGCAGGGATCACACAATTACACAAGTTGAGGCCAAGCTGTTTGTCTCAGGGAACATTTGAGAAGAGGTGATGGTGATGTGGTTGTGCTGTCTCTGTTTACTGGGACACACTGTCTGTCTCTGTGTCATTTAGGAGAGATGCTGCTGCAGTGTCATCTGCTGCAGCTTCTGTTACCAAACATTTAAGAAGAAGAAGAAGGGATTATTGTCAGCAGGCTGCAACTCAAATCTGTCGCCGTGGATTCATCAGAAGACATTTTTTATTTACAAAAAGACCATTTGATTAAAAAAACGCTTGTAGAGCCTGAATGGAGATCCGAAACTTGTTGTTTAATCATTCAAATTGTCAAAACGGTATGTTTTATCATAAATGATAAAGTCATTTTGAAACCATGTCCTCAGACACGTAATGCGTTAGTCATAAAGGAAAATTGTGAGTTATCAGCAATCAAGAACAAACAAAGGAAATGTGATAATCGGTTCTCTCCTATACCGTTTTTTTTGTACTACAAGGCGCACTTAAAATCCTTTTGGCTTGTTGGAGCACTGCAGCTACCGTAGCCTCGCAGTTGTTGAATGAGTTAAATAAAGTCTGACTTATCTGACTGTTTTGTTTGGCTTATTGCGCCTTATAATCCAGTGCGCCTTATATATGAAAGTAGACGTGAATAGATGTGTTCATTGATGGTGCGCCTAATAATCATGTGCGCCTTACAGTGCGAAAAATACGGTACTTTGTCAGGATGTGTCACAGCCAGTCCAAGTATAATCCAAGTTTGAGAACGCAGATTAAGACACCCAGATAATCCGTTTGAATTCGATTTTCTCCGCCATGTAACCAGCGTAGTCAGAGTATGATCGGACAATGCATGTGCGAGTGCGCCACTCCCCCATAACCCCGGAACAAAAACACCAGAGAACAGGAGTAGCGTGCATTTCATCAACAGACAGAGTAGCGCGTCCATCATGTAGGACAAAAACTACACTGTACGATGCTCTGTCTTCTTGCTTGAAAATGCCCAGCAGCAGTTGGAGACACTTCTGACGTCTGACACGGACCTGCTGTTGTTGTTGATAATTGTATGGTGTCGAAAACAGCGCAGCTGAAAAGACCCATATCGCCCCCTAGTCTTAGGTAGGAGGACACGTTCACGTCAATAACTCAATTTTCTCAGCTGCATGTAAACGCAGTCAAGGAGAGAAGTCTGATTCGGTGAAAAAAAAACGAATTCTGAGTTTAGTCTGATCAAACTGTGACTGTAAACGCACTGAGTGTCTGACACATGACATAGTTTCAATGTTCAGTTTTATTCTTTTGCACAGCCTGTCCCTCTGCAGAAGAAACCAGTCTCAGTGTAACAAAGATACTAATATGAGGTTTGAGGCCTGGGTTGGGCCTCCCTTATAGGTACCATAAATCATAACAGAACCCATTAAGGAGGAAAACGCCATTACCGGAACTCCCCCCTAAATGTCAGCGCTCCTCACAGGAAATACCTTTTCCCTGGTTTTCCTCTCATTATGTGGTTACTGTTAGCGATCAGGTCAGTGCAAAGGTTGACCTGATCACATTCCTGATTTCTCCTGAGCTGAGCCCGGGCACGCAGACCCTGGAAAAAGCTCAGCCGGGTGACGTCAGCATTTCTCCTGTGTGCCGTTGAGTGGCGGCTCAGGTCAGAGCTGCTGTGATGGGCTCTCGATGTTACGGCAGGCCTCTCTTCCTGGAAGTGTGTGTGTACAGTGGCTCTGATGACCCATACAAAGCAGAGAGAATAGACAACAGGTTTTCACGAGCTGGGGCATGCTGGCCAAACAAACACCGGGGCCTCCGGCACAGGAAAGCCTGGCAGTCAGTGTGCAGGCTGTGTTGATGGTCTGAAGCTTTTGTTCGATTGAAAACACAGAGGATCCATTTTTGTGGAGAAAAGCTGTAATTATGACAGCTTAAGATTCAAGACTGCTTTCAATTTTGTGCTTTCCATAATTTTATGATTGTGGGTCTCAGCGACGAGGAGCGAACATCTCATTTTGGAATTATTCACACGCAAGTCAGAGCAAGTGTGAGGTGACATCTTCTTCTGTTTAACAGCTTAAAGGTCTCAGGCCTCATACCAGCTCCACTTTGAGCCTGTCAGGGTTTCTCTTTTTGGAGTTTTTCCACAGATTTTCTTCTACATCTGAAAAACAAAGCACTGTTCTAGTCAAAATATGAGAAATTCATGATTGTTTTTTTTATGACATCAACCTCAGCAGATGGTGAGACTTTCACTGCTTTGACTCAGAGAACTATGATGACGATTATGCGGCACATTGTGTAGTTGTTACTTATAAAAAGTGTTGTTATTGTCTTTTTTTACTGTCCACTTTTACACATGTGCCTGCCTCGTCTTCTCCCACTGCAATTAGTGATCTCCTACATTTCCTGGGACGGTTGTTAACCAAACCCACAGGCTGCTCCGACTTGTAAACTTCATCTGCGGCCGCTTCATGCAGGAAGAAAAGCACCAACACCAGAGGATCCTCTCTGGTGGATACTGAACGTTGCTGCACCCTGGCATTATCCTGTTTCTGTGTTGAGGTCATGGGGAAGGTTCAAGGCTGCTGTTGAAGGAGCGACTCCCTGCCTCATCTCCTCACGGCTCTAGAAGCCGTGACAAAAACCTGACATTTATTTTGATATTTAAGATTAGTCATTGTTATTGTGGCACAACTTCATCCACACTTAAGATGGGAAACTGCAATGATAACAGGGCGTATTTTTAGGAATACTGAAGTCAGTTTGAGACATTTTTACTGAGTCGAAAAGCCCTCATATAATCTGACAAATTAATTTGCATAGAAATCTGTCACTTAATACTCAATCAATCAATCAATCAGTTAATCAAGTTTTATTTGTATAGCGCCAAATCACAACAGTTTTCATCCCAAGACGTTTTCCAGAGAAAAAGAGCAGGTCTAGACCACGCTCATTGTTTGATGAATTATCAAGACCCAACCTAAAGATGGGACAGATTTGGCCCATTTCATCGAACATGAGTGACAGTGGCGATGAAAAACTTCCTTTTAACAGGCAGAAACCTTGGGAAGGGCCAGACTCATGCTAGACAGCCACCAAGCCGCTGCTGGGTTGGGGAGAAATACAGAGAGATAGGGAGGGGGAGAGAGAGGAGTAGTAGAGAAGGCAGGGGGAGAGAGAGAGAGAGAGAGAACAAGATAGAGGGAAGGAGAGAGTGAATGAAGGTGAGAGAGAGAGACTGTGACAACATCAACATTAAAACAACAGAAACACCAACAACAGCGTATGCAAATTTGTGGTTGCAGAGCGAGTAAAGATCAAACAATATGAATTCAGCTTAGGTCGATCCACACCCGCTACCCGGTCCTGGCTACCACTACTCTGCACGCCTCGATGTGAAGACACTTTTCCAGCTCTGTAATCCTCGCCTCCAGAGCTAAGAATGAACTACAATTAAAGCAGGTATGGATATCATCTAAGGAGGACGAGGAGTAACTAAACATCTGACACACTGAGCAGAGGCGAGCAGGAGAAGAAGGTTACTCCTGAAACCTTCTCCATATCAAAAACCTGTCCCCTTATCTTGGTAAAAATCATGTTAAAGCTCCTGTGAGGAGTTTTTTTACCCTTTATCAAAGGTCACAACTCAAGCATGTAGAGAATAAGATAAGCAAAGACTGCCGTGTCCTCACAGAAACTGAAAGCCCCCCACAGGAGCTTTAAACCTCATTGTCTTCTTTTGTCCCTGCATGTTAAATCTGCGATAGGAGGATGTGTTTTTTTTTTCCTGACCCCCTGGAAAGCAGTAATAAAAACTTGGCTGAGAAACGGTGTTACTACTAGCTTCTCTATCTGTTTGCTATCACCGGAGAAGAATGTTTCTGTTAGCCGGCGTGCTGTCTCTGTATCTGTGGGAGTTTATGATTGAGTGAGTCTGTGTTGGCTCCGTGACAGTCCACCCCCAGCGGGGCACATGAAAGGACAGAGCGGGTCAAGAGGAACCAAAGGCTCGCTTCACTGAGCAGATAAGGGAGGCGTCTGCAGCAGCAGCAGGGCAGATATCTCCGGTACACCTGACAGGATGCTGGGTTTCCGGCGTCAGAGTTGCTCGGTCACACATATTTGAATCTCCTTTGCATGAATCTGCCCTCTTATGATATTCAAACAATATTTGCAACTTGTGGCTGAGCAAAAAATCACATCATTCGTCCACCAACCCCTCGTTGTTGCAGTGCAGGTTCCTCGATAGTGAACTGAAAGTGTCTCCTCCTCATACTGCAGTGCAAGTGTGAAAAGAGAATGAGGAAGAGCTTATTTTAAACCATCAGTCTATCTGGTTTATTATCCAAGCGGTGTTTGAGTGAAGCTTGTTGAGCCTTTTGTTTGTTCTCAAAAATGCAGACAGACAGCACTTTCCCTTGGAGCTCTTCTGGAGGCCCTTGAATCGAACCAAGGCTGAGAGAGACAGAAGGTGTAGAGGTGGGTTTGTCTTTGTCTCCTGTGTTTTGGCTGGACTCACCCTCAATGAAAAGAGGCATGGAGAGTGGTTCTGTGTGTGTTATGGCTATCATCTGTGGTTCGTGGAGACTCGGAGGAGGGGGCGCTGTGGTTAGGGTTTGGCCTCAATTTTGGGGCCAAAGTATGAAGCCAAGCCTCCACCAGCAGAAAGAATGAGGGGACAGACTAGGTGTGGTCCTGTATTACTTTTGCTTCTGCCAGTTTTCAAATGTGTTACAACCCAAGATGCTGTCAGAGCAAAAATAGCCCCAAACCATCTGTTTTTAGGGAGTTTGTTTCAGCCAGGAGGAGCGGTTCGAGGTCGCCCGCCAGCTTATGTTCCAGCAATTAGCAAGACCTACAGTAGGTGGCAGAATCAATGTTGTCATGTCTTTTACAATGAAATGGGAGCATTGACACACAGTAAAAATGCAAGTTTGGCGTTCAGCGGCCAGTGGAAAGTCCTCATCAAGAAAGAAAAATCTTGGTGGATGGAGAGACCGGCTGCAAAATAAATAAATAAACTTTAGTTTTTCTGAAGGGACCACCTTCAAGCCACTGAAAGCAAACCCTGCCAACGGGTCGCAGAAGGAAAAAGAGCACAGTCTGGTTTTGTGCTTGTTGAGAGGAGGCTGATCCAGCTCTTTCATGCACTTGTAGACATTGCACCTGCACGGGTATCCCTCAGTGCATTAGACCTGATGTGATAGTCCATTAGCTTTTCCAAAAACAACAAACCCCTCTCTGATTAATATTTAGCCATCTAAGAAGCCTTCAAGCATGGACGGGCTTCAGAAAGCTGAGATAGTAACATAAACTAATCTGAGCTTTTACTTAGTCTGAAAAACTGTGTCAATACCTCTCAACTCTCCGAGGTGTGTCACAGGGTTCACTCGATACCACTCTGCTAATATCTCCAAGTCCATCCCTCCTCTGCATGTGCGCTCCGTTTGTTTACATTTACAGGCTCTGTAATCAGAGTTAATGATTGAAAAACGCCCATAAAGACATTTAGAGTTCCTCTCCAAAGAGACTTGATTTCTTGGAAAGGGACATGTGGAAAAATGGGGGTGGTGAAAGGAACTTTTATAACAAAGAGCACGTGCATGACAAAAGACTCGGGTATCAAAGTGGCGGAGAGGATGGACCGCAGTATAAAAAAACGTCCTTGTAAGTTATTCAATCCAACACCAAGACACATTTTAGCTGGCTCTGAAGGGACGTTATGAAAGGGACTCTTTTCTTCTGCTGATTCAAAACAAGATGATTCATTTTCTCCACACCAGATCTTAACTCGCACACTTCTCTCTGACCAAACTAAGCGGCCGCTGCGCCTCGACTGTTAGTTAGCAAGTGATGAACCTCTCATTAAGACACTGTGCGCTCATTCCTCGCTACAGTTTTTAAATGCTGATGATGAAAACGGAGAAAAAAGGTGAATGATGTGATGTTTTGTCTGAGTGGGTTTTGCGGTCGCTGACTTTACTGGCAGTTTCTGTCCCAGGCCTTCAGGGTCATTAAATCTGTCAGGATCTGTGGAGGGAAAAGACTCAGAGCGAGAGAGGAAGATGGATTCACACATGGCGTCATCGCTCTGTTGGGAACCCTGCGGTTTTATCTCTCTCTTTACGGCTGACACGACTTGTCCTGGGATTCTGTGGTTATCTGTGTGTGGTGGCGTGTTTACGTCTGATGTGACTGCGTGAGAGCAAAATTCAGAGCTGAAATAAATGACGTTTGTGTTGGCTAAATGCAAGTTACCTCAAACCCTTGTTTCACACCCCTAAACATGAAAACACCATCTCGCTTTCTCACACACGCCTTCGCCTTCAAACAAGACAGAAAGTTACTTCAACTTTTTCCCCACATAGCAAGTTATTTCTGTGAGCGCCTAATCCGAGCTGAAATGATCAAAAAACACAAAACGTTTCCTCTTGTGCTTCCTCGGCTTTGCGAAGTGATCAAAAATCACACCCCGGGACGTCACTGTTATGATGTAGCAGGAAACAGCGATGTGGACAAGAAACTGGCTTTACTCTCTCTTTGAAAAAGTAGTTAATAAGGAGTTAATAAGAGGGCGAAATGTGAGGCATAGGATGGAGCGCTGTTACAGGTTAACAAGCTACAGCTTAACAGTGGGTTTTGTGACAGTAATGGTCCAACGGGAGAAATCAAAGCCAAACACATCATAATTTTTGAGTCTGGAATCCCCCAATTTGCCCGTCCAAACATGCCAAATTTAATTTAATTTAATCTCCAATAAAGAAAAGACAGATGAGAAATACTCAGTCAACTGCTTACCCAAGAACAAAGTCATGAGACAGGCAGATTAGGCCTTTCTTGTTTTAATGTAATAACGAGAATGGACTTGATGTAGTGCTAAGAGCGTGTCTCATTAGGCTCCTCAAAGGAAGATCATAAATAACATCAGGAGTCAGACTGTCAGAGTTTGATCAAATCAAGTTAGGAGAACTGTTTCTTCCTGCATGTCCTCGCTTCATCAACCACAGCACAGTATCTTAAAAACACACTTGAACATCGAAATCGGTCCTTAAACTTCTCAGCAGTTTGACTGATCCATGACGGCTTCATGATGAGTAAGAGCAAATTAAAACAAACGATGAGAATGAGAGAAAACGTGGACTCATAATTAACCACAGATCAAGACTAAAGCTTCACATGTTGGATTTAACAAGTTCAGATTGTTGCCTGTTTTCATTTATTAGCTCAGAATGAAGATTTGTGACCCATTTAGTTTCCCCGCTATTCCTCGAACCCAGCGGCGGTGATGAATGAGGCGGTCTCTGTTTTATTGTGAACGGGAAAGTCGGTTAGTCCCTCAGACACTCGCTCACTCATCTCGCCCACTCACAACATGCGCACTTTATTAAGGGACCTGGACCCCCACACGCCACGAAAATGGGTGATGTCTGTGTTGCATTAGGACACACACACACGCACGCACACTCGTAGACACACTTTTTTAATTTTCTCACTAAAAACAACCAGTGTGGCTTGCTCATTTGGGCTGCCATCTCCCTGCGGTGACGCCGTCGTGCCTCTGTCTTTAATGTTTTAACACAAGCAGCGAGCCTCCCAGTCTACAGACTCAAAGATCCAGCTTTAATGCAATAGACTGAGGAATTAAGACTGCGGTGTCTCTGCCAATGAGGAAAGGCTGACTAACGCGCCCAGACGTCACACATGTAGAAAGTCCCGTGCTGGCTGTTTACGCTTTAAAGAAATTCACGGACACACTCATCCAGAACGAATTACTGTCGCTGTGATTCTGCTATATGCTACAAGTGCTAAATCAACAGCGTCATGAGCCAGGGTAAAGCGGGGGCAGCTCAGCTCCAAACCAAAGTTCTCACAGTGCTCTGCCTGGAATAACAGAAAAGCATGTTCAAGTCAAGAATAATGTCTCGATTCTTTTCTGTGGACGCGGAGCTGGAAACTAAGTGGAGGAGTTTGATGGGGAAGATCTTGATGTATTAGTGTTTTGTCAACATAGATTCAGATCCAGATTCATAAGGCCGAACGAACGACTCTACCTCGGACGCTATTTCTGAGTCGCAGAATCGATTTCGAAGTTCTGCTGAGGGAAGCAGGAGAGCCAGTCAGCTGCTCTTGACTTGTCGGATGAATCTTTGGCATGTTAGAAATTTTGGTCGGCCATCTGCAGAGCCACTTATTCCCCAGCTGCCCTTTTTTTTCAGATTGTGCCTCTGCAAAGTGGAAGATAACGTCTGAAAGCACCATGGCAACACCCTATGTGATGTATACAGCTGTAGGGCTGGGCGATATGGCTTTATATCAATATCGCTATATATTGATCAGTTCACCTCGATAACAATAAATGGACGATAACTACTCCACAAGCTGCTCACCTCCTCCAACATTAACTTCGTCTACTTCAGCCGCTCCAACTTTTGAACCGTCCTCCATCTCCTCACCTGTCTTTCCCTCTTTGTAACGGACTGGATGGGGTGGAGTCACGTCTCTGACGTAGGACAGCGTCTTAAAGGGACATGAGACCATAGCCTACCTACACACATCCAAAACCAACTTTCATTTTTTTATATTTTTTGTCACCAAATATACCGATATTGGCAAAATAACATTGGTTATTGTCGTAAATTTCAGTATCTGTAAATTTTTGGTTTATCACACGGCCCTATACACCAGCTATAACATGACCATCAGTGCAGTCTACTGTAGATTATACTTTTACTAAGCTACATGGACAGATTTGTTTTACTTTAGAGGGATAAGTGTATCTTTGAGTGTAAACACATGTTTAGTTTCACCTTTTTAGCTGATCATTCGTAATATTGTTTAATAATGTTTGACCGAGCGCCCCTATGACCTGACCCTCTTCAGCAGCAGTCGTCACTTTAATTCAAATGAACAAAAAACAGAATATGTTATTAATTATCAGTCAGTTCTGGTCGATTGTGTTCATACTGAGCACACACACACAAAAACATCCAGTTGGTCCTAAAATGTTTTTACTCTCCTGTTGCTCTTTTACTTTTCCAAATTAAGGTTCGAAGGTTTTAAAGTTTTGGGATCCGTGTGCGGATTTAAGTCTCTCTTGCGCAAGAGTGCGATGATTGTGGACCATACAGTAAAACTCAAATGTACGTCCAACAGCCAAGAGTCTTAATCAGTGCACAAATATGCACATTCCTGTGTGATATTTGCTCTTGACACACACTGATAATAAAAATCACCCTGTGGTGCTGGCTTGTCTGGAGTTTTATGAGTCCAGGTCTCTTTCTGTACGATTGAAACCTGTTTAAATATGAAGTTCTTAACATGACAGTCACGTCGATGAACTTGTGTAACCGTGGAGCTGGTTGTCCTGCTAGTTTTAATCAACGGTGGAGCCTCTTTGTCTGTATGGAAAGATGCTGAAAGGAGAGCGGCATTATGGGAAAGTTGTAGAAGAGGAGATGAAATTTGATTGGCAGGGAGCTCCAGAGTGACTCACTCATCCAGCTCTCTGGGTTTGGAGCTGTGGGCCTATTCTGGGCTGCGGTGACACGTGTGTGTGTGTGTATGTACGTGCACACTGGTGTTCACATGGACCAATCCAGCAGCTGAAGTCACCAAATTTTACTTGTTGGCTTCACCACTTTGCAGGCGTGTGTTCCTGTGTGTGTATGTGCGTGTGTGTGTGTGTGTGTGTTGGAGGAAAATGAAAGTAGTCTGGCAAGGAAACCACAACACAGGAGCCAGATTTAAATGCAGATATTTATCTTCGCTCTCTTTCTTTCTCTCTCTGCTCTGCTGAAGTCCCCTCTATTAAACCTTTGCTCTGAAAATTACTCCGGCTTCACAGGGCCCTCCTCCACCATCACCGCCTGTCAGGCTTAAGTAAAAGTTAGGCTGAAGTTTAGCAGTTCCTACGGTTAGTTATTCCACAGCTGGGTTAAGTATTCGAGTCTGACTGATCTTTACAAATCAAATGTTAAAGCATCGGTCTGTTTTTCCTCAGTAGTAGACCACTCTCACATGGTCAGGTCTTTATTTGTCATTTTGGTCTTTTGAGATGTTTTTTTAAGATAGTTTTGAGTTTGTAAAAATAAAATTCAGTTTGGGTTTAAGAGCTATTTTTAGCAGAAGAGTTATAAAGTCTGTTTTTTTCTGCTAACTACAGTCTCAACATTGGCTACTTTGATCTGTTATTCTAATTGATTAATAAACCAATTAATAGACTAATCAGATAATGAAGTTCTCAGTTAATTAACGGCCTTATCTCGCGATTGTAAAGCTGTGTAGTTGTTCCCCCCTTTGTTCAGAGTGAAGAAAGACAGCGATGATGTGTAGAGTCAGGGTTGTCACACCCGAACAGTGCTGCTGATATTTATGTCTGCTCTATACTAACTGTTTAAAAAGTAAAAAAAAACTTCACTTAGGCTCCTTTTTCTGACAAACACAACTTTAGAAGTGTTTTGATGTCCTGTTTGATGACACGGCAAATCTTCTTACAGTAATTTTCCCCTCAAACGTGTTCTCCATGATACAGATGACTGCTCAGTTTGATGTTGTTAATCAGTAAAGCTGCAGTAAGTCTGATCTTCACACTGGTTCACTTCACCCCACAGGGGGCCAGCCTGTCTTTCTTCTCCGCAGACAGACAGACAGACATACGATTTGTCGTAAACATGGAGTTTTATTTTGCTCAGTGCAACAGGTGATCTGAATCAGTGCTCCTTCAGTTCATAGACACAATACAGTCATATCTCACTTTCTGTCTGTCTTCTCTCTTTCTCTTTCCGACTGTATGTCTCAGTCACTCTCTTGTGCACACAGACACACAGCTCTGTCCAACCAATAGGAAACGAGCCTGAAATATCTGGTGAGGCAGTCAGGTAGCCAGGAGCTCATTACTGCTGAATGTTTTACGGGGTTGTCATTTTCTAGAAGAGAAGCATGCTCAGACGGGTTGCAAAGCCACGTGTACATGCATGTATGTTTCCGTCTTCCTCTCTCGCAACAAAGGAATGAAGAAGATCCGAGTCTGAGCTCTGAGATCATCGCTGATAATGATGTTTCTGCTCTTTGTTCCACATTTGCACAGGAGCAGAATCCTGCGTTTAATCGGCATTTTCCTTATTTCCCTTTTAACCAATTGTATCAGGGTTGATAGGTGCTCCTTGTTACCACAGCAACATGATTTTTACATCCTTAAATCGGCTCCACAATCATGAAGGCCCTGCTGAATGCCACAGGAGTTTCCTGTCATGTTGGAGTATGATAAGTCTGCCTTAAAGACCACACACTCGCACACGTACAGACAGAGCCGGTGCTGACTTCACCACCGCTGTTCCTGCCCCCGAGGTTCTGCAAAGTTCTCTCGGACGTGACAGGTTTCTGTCTGGCACGGTTCAGACGGTCGCTGTGTCACCAATTAGAGAGCCTTGGCTGTTTCACTGTCAGCAGAGTTTAAACACTCAGAGGCTTTACTTTACAGTCCAAGGTTTTATCACAGTGTCCAAATGGTCAAATCTTCTCCCTGTTTTCTGCAGACTCATGAACGCAGCCACGCAGCTGTCTGAGCTACGAGAGCCCTCATCCCAAACGGGGAGGTCTTTGTTTAGTTTGGACGTCTCTGAGTCTGCAGGAAGCATCTTTCACAGCACAGCCTATTTGGATGATGGATTTCTGAGATGGAAAGAAACCACATCATCCCAAAGAGAAAGAACCAGTCGGCCAGTTCAGGCCATACAACGGTGCTTCATCAACAGCTAATTTTGACTGCAGCAACCTAGCATTCCTCATTATCCAGGCAAATTGAAGATATTTGTCACAGACCATCTCCTGGCAGCTCTTCCTGTTGAAACACGGGTGTTCAGCTTTTATCGAACCGTTCAACTCCAAGCATGAATATCCGAGACTTAACTGGATCCAATTTTTCAGATTGAATTATTGCATTACATTAAAATGATCAGAATAAATCTGGATTATCACTGTTAGGACATTAGATCTAGATGAGGACGGCCAGTTCCCCAAAATTAAGTTTGAACCACTTTGTAAGAAGACATTAAATTTGTCATTTAAGCAGATTGATTTGTTAAAAAGGGAAAACCCTCACAGAGTTATGATAAATCACAGCCATAGTACTAGCCACCAAACATCTTTTTAACTTTGATTCATTTCTTTAACAAAGAGACTAAACACAACTAACCCACTCTCTTCCAGCAGCCGCTTGGTGTTATGGTGTGTTTGACCCTAAATTAATTTTACTCCAGAATATCCCTTTAAGCACACTTGACAAATGGCACTCGGGTTTGACCGTTTCCTCCGTGCCGCCGTTAGTAAATGTGCTTTGAGATCTGGAAAAAGTCAGATGCCGTCATTAAAAAGTGTTGACCCCAAATATAAGACAGCCAAACGATCTCATTCGTTGTTGTTTCTCCTTCTGTCGGCCATATTAGCTGTTGATATCATCATCTGCTGCACATGAGACCATCCAAATATGGGCGTATGTCTGTTTTAATCTCTTACACTGACCCTGTCCCCCCCTCCTCAGTCAGTCGGTCTGTTTGTCTGTCTCTCTGTTCGTCTTACGTAATGGAGGCATCATGTGAGAGGTGAGGTGAGGGTTCATGTTGTGCACCTGCGTGTGACCATCCTGCTTCCACTTTGATCTCTGCTGGATGTCTTTCTTTCTCTTTCTCTCTCTTCTACTTTTTTCCTCTTCAGTCTTTCCACCTGATTTCCTCCCCTTACCGTCTGTTTCTCTGACTCCTCCCTGGCTTTAAGCCCACTGGCTCCTCGGATCTAAACTCCCATCCTTTAAGGGTAATTATGAGATCAGCTGAATGAGGAGCGTGGGGTTTTAAAACAGTACTTTGAGGCTCAGGACTCCTCAATAAAGCAGTGTTAGATTGTCTGTTACTGTCTGTTTTGATCCCGCTGATGTAGACAGGTAGTTTACACGGAAAAACAAAAATGGTAACTAAGACACTTCTTCTATTAATAGTTCATTTTCAGACATCAGATGCTGTATTTAGACGAGGAAAGCTGACTTTGAACTAAGCTCAGAAAACTTTTACCGTTTCTTTCCTACACGGTTTTAACTTTTCTCACACTCCAGCACCTTTCAACACCTCGCAGAGATTCCCCTCTTCCTGCTCTCTACCCCTTTATTTCCTGCCTTTCTGCGGTGTCCTGATCCCAGCTCTGATAAACACCATCCAGAATCCAGCGGGCCATTAAGCCCGTCCTGTTACCTCCGAGCATTGCTCTGCGTGCCCCTGAATCATTACCCTGCAGACAGACACACCGACCTTTCAAACGGCTAATTATAGACCCAACAGAGAATAGGAGGAAGGGAGGGAAAAATAAACGGGGGGATAGATGGATGGATAGAAAAGCGTGTTGAAGTGAGTTAACATGAGGAGAGCGGGAGACGTGGAGTAGCAGGCCGTTTGTGTTTACTCAGCGGCTGCAGGCCCTCTGGACAATACCCCAACGATGGCTATCGGTCATTAAGAGCTCTGTTCCAACTGCAGTGACGTCAGACTGCCTTAGAAAAGCAGACCTGCGTGTTTAAACCCTGCGTGTTTTTCTTGGAAAGCAGATCGCAGGTGGCTTGGGACTGCAGGCTAATAGTAAATGAGTTTTTCTAGCCTGTACTTTGCTATATTTAGAATCCAATGAGGCCTGAAATGGTGTGTTTCACCTCCGCCTGACAATCAGAAATTCCTCCCGTCTGGAGCAAAGAGGGCCTCGGGTTCACTCGTCTACATCCCTGACTCGTATCTTTTGATAAAATGCTATAGACCAATTAAAAGTAGCTGTAAAGCAATCAGTGCGACGTCGCTCACGTTGATCAGCGCTAATGCTTAACCCGCCGCTGATAAGAACTCACTGAACTCACATGCACTGTACTCTAAAATCTGCAAGGTGAACATGTGCGCTGTTTCACAAATCGATTCTCTGAAAGGCTGCGACCAAGTGATGCTTCTGCAGAGAGGTCAGCTGTCAGAGAAAGAGATCATGTGTCATAAGTACATGCGCTTCAATTATAAAAGGAGCTACAGACGCATCAACCTTGGAGCTCTCTACCATTATATCTTTTTAATTAAAGAGCTCCATATACTCTTATTTTCTCACTCATATACAGCCTTTATGAGCTTTTGTCTCTGCTGCAAAAATACCAGATTTCCAACACACAAAGCACGGGCGATGTGCCAAATTCAATACAGCCACCTGTGTCGTGCTCTGCAACAGTATGCAACACTGTCATCAGTTTTCATCAACACTTTGACTTGTTGTGCGCACACAATAGAGATGTACTTCCTAACACCAATGCAGCACAATGAAAGGTGAAAAACAGCGGCGTTACGGAGTCATTAGTGACCAACAACAGAGCAGGTTGAATCCTGGTGTTCTTCGTGACAGAGGTGCTTCAATTTCTCTTTCTCACATCATCAGTTTTTACATCTCTCAAGGATTTACATCTTGATTTTCCCACCATGCCTTGCCTAACTCGGGTCCAGCATGATTGAGGGAGCAGGCTGTGTCTGTGACGGTTGGTCAAAGCAGTGGCCGTAACTCCTAATGTTAATTGTAGCTCCACTGAGTCTCTGCTAATTATGTTTCATTAAAACAAATTTCCTTTTTTTGACACGTTCTTCACAGTCAAAGTCTCCAGTCGTTGCGTCAGGTAGAAGCATGTTTTCAGCATAAAATGAAACTTTTAGGTCACTCATCATATGATTTGACATTAGATAACAAGCTGTTTCCCAACAGATAATGAATTATTTTTTTGTTGTTTATAAAAAGTATAAAAGCAAAATGACGTGCATGAACTCCTGAGCTTCAGTACAGGAGGTTCGGACCTGCAGGTGAGCCAGGCTTCTGCTTTATTCCTCACTCTCCTCCCTGTTTTTTCTTGCCTTGCATTAACCACCTGATGCAGCAGATGCACCTCAACCTACAACCACAGTCGTGCATCTGTCAGAGCGTCACACCATCTGCGGTGATGTCTGACTTTCTGAACATGCCCATCTTGATATGGGTTTGTTGTGTCTGGATCTAAACGTGATCAATATTGCTGAGTTTTGAGACTCATCATGGTTCCCGTGACGAACTGAGAGGACAAGGCTGGTGTCCTATAAGTTGTAAACAGCTAGCAGGAGAAGGTATCTGCTGGCCAGGCGGGCTGAGACAGATCACACCCTCACACTGCAGCTCTCTGGACCCGAGCCCAAACTCTAAACTCTTTTGGCAAGTTTCTGTTATTGAATCATATTTTGTCTTGTCTGTCGTGACTCTGACATTTATTTTTAGCACTAAAAGCTTTTGTTGCTAGGAGACGGTGTGTCTTAGGAGAGGCTGAGCGAGGGAGGGACAGAATGGAAGAGAGGAGAAAAGAAAGAGATGGCAGCGGTGTTGAGGGGGAGAAAGAAAGGCGGAATCTGTGAACGAGGAACGAACAAGCTATGAGTCAGCAGGGACATCTACAACGCACTCACACAAACACATGCAGTGGGCATGGTTGCTATTCCTGTGTTCTTTGTCTGTGTGCTCTGTGCACCCACGCATGAACCCACTTACCTCCCCTCACTAACCTGTGTTGTGTGTCTGCGTAGTTTGTGTGTGCGGGATTGATATTAGCTCGCCCACTTTGATTTAATCCACTCCTGCTGTGTGGTGTATGCGTCAGCCTGCGTCTGTGAGAGTGGACTGTATGTTCACATGTGTGTTTTTCTCCAGCAGTGTACCCCATTATACAGCAGCATGTTGTGTCTGTGTCACAACGCCTAACCTGTCCCCACTGACAAGAGCCTCTTTGTCTGCTGTGTGTGTGAATCATATGCTTGAACCCCATTAGTAATCTGCCTTCAAATAGTTATTATCAGCCATCATAGGCAGCTTGTCTGTCTTTTGGCTCATTCTCCGAGCACCATGGGAGATCGGATAGCAGCATGTGGTTAGTTAGTCACAGGGAGTCGGTCTGTTTTTCAGGATAGGTTTTTTTTTTCTCTTCTATTTCTTTACACTTTGATAACAGACCTCCTGCCGAGTCCAGCAAATCGCCCGCAGGAGATTGTTGTTTGCATAATCCTGTTACAATCAAAATAATACAAAACAAACACATATCATGTTTTTTTAACATAGGGCTCCGACTTCTCTCTGTACGCTGTATTTTCTATACACTGAAGGTTGATAACTTTCTTACACTTCATAGCGTAAACATGCTTTTTAACACACTTAATGCCTCTTGTTTAGGGCTGGGCGATAAAACGATAATAATATACAGCAAAAATCAATTTCCCTCGATATTGATTTAAAACATGGTCAATATGCTTTTCAATAGTCTGCATTCTGCCATGTTTTGGTAGACTATACTAAAAGCCAATGAAAAGAGGAGTTTCTCTGGGGCCGAACCAATCATGTGCTGAATTAGAACCAAGTAGGAAACAACTGCATAGTAGCAGGCTGCAGCTACACGCAACCATCGCACTTTGACACGTGAAGCCGACAGCACTGTCGGTGAGAAAAAAAGAAAATAAGTAGCATTTGGTGTGACATATGCAAATAGCCAGAATAGGCCGAAAACAGCGTAATAACTTTTTAACCGTGCGTCTCAGAAAAAAGTCCAAGCATGCAAAATCAAAGATCTCGTTAAGATACACACACCTGTAGAATTTCAGGCATATCGGACAAAGTCGATGTTCGTGGCGCTCTGTAGGGGGCGCTAGCTTTTATAACATTGCAATTTTCGCCAGGCCTGACCTGCCTGCAAATTCTCGTGAGTTTTTGAGGTCATTCAGGGGGTCAAATTTGCATTTTAGGAGGTCATAAAATAATAATAATCGAGAACCATTGGCACGAAAACGTCGGTGGTGTGGAAGTATTTTGTTTTTTGAGGTCGGACATGAAGCAAAGTAATGTGCAAATCACATCAAGTACGTGTAAAATTACATTTAAGAGTAACAGGGAACATTTAAGGTTGACAAGTGATTTATTTTTAATATCATGATGCATATCAATATCAACTGATATGAAAAACAAATATATAGTGATTAACTTTTCCCACATCGCCCAGCCCTACTCTTGTTTGGTTCATTACCTTCTAGATTATTTTCGATTGGTTGCTGAGTTGACCAATTATCCAAATCGTGTTTCATTCAAGAACAAATCGTACTGAATCTATATCCTTTTGTTTAGTCTGCTTTGTCATTTTGCTAAATCACGCTTCAAGCTAATTTTGGGGGGCTTTTGATTCCTTTATTTGGAGGATAGGACAGTGAATAAGAGGAGGGGAGAGAGGGGAACAACGAAGGGTCCTCGATCAAATATGAACCCTACTAGAGGACCGCCGCCTCTAAACGTGGGATGCACAGCCCAGATCTAGAACAAAACAGAAGTCCCCACATTCATAATTACAGATGTAAAGTCTATTCTAGATGGGTCACTAGATCTCAATAGCAGGTAATTACAAAATAAAGGGAGTTTTCACTTTCCAATTTAAGAGCCTGACTCTAAATCTATCCATGATGGAGAAACAGTCACAGTTTCTTCTTCGTTTGTAACCTGATTAAATCATGAGCGCCGACTGCATAGTCACCGGGTTTTACATGTGAACGCTCCGTTTTGAGGCTTCCTCTCTGCATTTCCTCTGACCCGAGTTTAGTCAGCCGTTGAGGTTTTGATCTGCTGATGCATCCACCACCTTTTTTCATTATGACACTGAATTATTTCAGACTGACACGACACGCAGCTGCACTCTGCACACCTGACAGTGGACTTTGGTTTCATCGTGTCCAACCTCGTTAGTTTTTCCATGACTCATTTTGACTCCGTTTACACCTGCTGTTAAATTGTGATCTCTATCTGGATAAGGAGAAACACATGTTAAACTAAAGCCATAAATACACCCACCATTGTGCTCAGAATTTGATCAAATATATCCATGCCGTGGTGTCCATATCAGCAGAATCAGTCATCTGTAAGAGCGCTCCATGACGATTCAGAGAAAGTGTTTCTTGTTTCCCTTTTTTCTCTCTCTCTCTCTCTCTCTCTGAGAACGAACCACCCATGTGGGTAGGAATGTCATGACTCACTCTGGATTTGTCGACTACTCACCTTCACAGAAAGACTGGCACGATCCGTTTCCACCAGATGTTCCTCCTTAAACTGATCCGCTGTGAAGGAGTTACAAACACTGTGGCAGAACACTCAACCTGTAGGTGTTTGTGTACTCCCAGCTATAAAAAGCCGCGTTGAAAAGTAAATTCCTGCTACATGGTACGACTGCGTGAGATTTTTCTCGCCATTTTTCCCCCACATCAAGAGCACATTTTTTCTTAAGGTACAAAAAAAAGCCATAATTGATTTTAATTGCCATCTGGGCACCATATGTAGCTGAAGTTTACTTTACTCAGAGATTAGGTTGCCAGGTGTGTCCTCACTTTTTATTTTTAAATACCTTTTATGACTTTTCTCTCTCTAAATATATATTTTGTTCCAATCTGTTGCTCCGTCTGTTTCTTAAGAAATTCTCCGTTACAGTTTTACAAAATCTTGATTTGAGAATATGGTTTCTAAGAAGCGGCTGCTCTCTGATCTTAAGTACTTTTTCCACCAAATCACACGTCTTAACCGAAAAGCTTAAACGGCAGCTGAAATGAAAATCGAGTATTTTTTCCATTCATGCTGTACCTGATTTGAGCTCAGCCACACGAGGGCAAACGTCTCATCTGAACTTTATACTCTAACAGCTTTGACATTTTACACAGAAGTCGGTGCTTGATGGAGCGAGTGACCCCCCTGTATGTATCCTGGATAGGGAGGTTGAGCAGATTTGCTCGCAGATCTTCTTCCTCATTAGGTCATCACGCGTTTAAAGAAAATGGCGGTACGCTATTAAAGGCATGGTTGACGATCTGAGAAGCAGTTGGAAAAAACTGAGCCGTTAAGGCAGATTTTGAGAGTGGGAGGGGATGAGTCGGAACTACGGGAGAGGGGTGTGTTGAATACAGCGAGGTGATTGGATGGAGAGGCCGAGCAGGAGATTGACCAACAAGAGCTGTCCCAGGACGGATGGCTCCCATTGGTCAATATTTTTGCAGCCCTGCACCTGCGAGGATGAAGGACTTTGTGGAGATCGCACTATAGGAGCATGATCGCCATAGAAACGAGGTTCATAATAATTACCGATCTCACCAATCGTCAACCCTGCCTTTAAGAGAGTAAACCACATCGATGTGAAGTGAATGTTCTGTGTTTGGGTCGCATCTGTGCTTCAAAAAGATCAACTCCTCCTGAACTATCATGGCAGGATGGTGACGATTAACGAAGCTACACATGTGCAGAGAAACGGCACATTGCTGACCCCACAGTGGAAAACAGTCCGGATAGTTTTAGTGTAACAGCCTGTCAGCCTTGAGCATATCGTGATCAATTCACTGTCCCTGCTGTATGGATGTGACAGACTGTGTGGAGTGTGGGAAACTGATTGTAACCTTGGTATTTAGGATAGTGTGTACCTTTACAGTTACATAAACACACACACACACACACTATTCAGCATTGTTATATTGCGGCCATATGTTTCCCACCCTCAGCTTTCTCAGCCTGATTGCCAAGGCACATCTGGTCCTAATGAGGTGCGTGTGTGAGAGTGTGTGTTTGTGTGTGTCACTATGCCTTTGCTATTCAGCCTTTCAACATGGCCTTGTGTTGAAGTGGTGTTGAGTCTTTTACTGCCACCCACTGCTTTACAACTCGAACCCTATACTTTTAACTGTTGGATAATAGTGTGTGAGTGTGTGTGCGCGAGTGTTGGTGTGTGCCCCTGATAGTTGTTATAAAACCACAGCTTATATTTTGTCTGCACATATCTCAAGGCCTGTTAATCTGTTTAAACAACGCCGATTTTCAGGCTTTGAAGGCGATAGCTGTGAAGTTTTGATGTGACGGCGGTTTGTGGGAACAGATTACACCGAAATGTTTGAGATCGACTCAAACTGAAATGTAGAAGACATGTTTGATTCAGTTTCATCCTTGATTGTATGATTCCCAGCAGCCCTGGTGTCTTATATACTTATGCAGATGAGCTTCTACTCTCTGTTTCCACTCTCATATTGTCCACTCTTCTGTTAATCACATACAGACGGACAACAAGACTAAGCAAAGAGGAGATGTGTTGAATAAACAGATCCATATATCTTTGTCGTTTTCTCATGATCCTCCCTGGTCGCTCTCGTCCTCTTTCTCCAGGGTTTGCCTTCCCAGACTGGGCGTACAAACCCGAGTCGAGCCCGGGCTCCAGACAGATCCAGCTGTGGCACTTCATCCTGGAGCTGCTGAGGAAGGAGGAGTACCACGACGTCATCGCCTGGCAGGGAGACTACGGGGAGTTTGTCATCAAAGACCCGGACGAGGTGGCCCGCCTGTGGGGGGCCAGGAAATGTAAACCTCAGATGAACTACGACAAGCTCAGCCGAGCTCTGAGGTGAGAAAACGGTTTGAAGATTCTGCTCTGATCAGACCTGATAGTCAGGACTTTATACCAAAACCCACTTCATACCGAGATGCTCTTATGTTTGAACACCAGATGAGAAGAGAGCCTTTGTGGGCAGATCTGAAGTCACAGAAACAGGTGTCATGTTGTTTTGAACTCCTGATGAACTTTAATGAACTCATTAAAGCGTACAACATTGAAATTTTCTTTACCCCAGATGGCGAGGGCGTATATAACGATTTAAATATTCGCTTATCAAACACTCACTCACAGCAGAAGTGAAAGAATCTGAGCCTGATTTCGTTTCCATCCTCGTGTTTCTACCTCTGCACTCTGCAAGGTGTAAAAACAAACTACAAACAGCGTTTCAAGAACGGAAGCTGAAGAATAGTCTGGGAGAAAACCTGATGAAGGATGGTTTCCCTTCACCACGACCCGAACCCTCTCTCTGTCGAGTTACACAGCTCAGACAAACAGGCTCTTAACTTGGAACATATGCTGCTGCAGATAAAATATATCATCCTCTTAAATGATTCAGATCACAGAACAATTTTTACTTCACTCCAACATCTGTAGCAGTTAGGAGGACCTTTGGGAGGCCGGCTGGTCTCTATCGTTTCATTCCAGCCAAACATCGTGTGACGAGGTGAAGAGTCAAGACGTGTTATTATCCCGATGTCATAATAAAACCATGACAATCAAAGCTGCGGGTAACAAAAATAACACCAGCCTGTCCAAGTAAACTCTTCTGGTCCCAACCCTTTTACATAATATACACAAGAACCTGTGTTATAATATGCAAATTCAAAACACTCGTAGTGGTTAAGCAATGATAACCCAACACTCCAGTCTACGCTGCATTGGTTTAAACATCAGTGAGAACGTGTTTCATTTAGATTTTCTTCATTTGTGTAAGATTATCCAGAAACCCAATCTGACTCAGTTTGTATCATGTGTGTCACAGTCCAGTTCAGTCATAAATCTACACTTTTATTAGGATTTGTTGGTCTTTGTCAGTAAGATGTTGAAGTTGAATGACGTTGATGTTTTCAGATGTCACTAAGGTTCGTAGAGCCGGCTCCTGGTTCCTGGTCCTGACACTTGTGCCGCATGTCGTCCCCACTTTCCCCCGACAATTCCTGTCTCTCCTAAACCGTCTTATTAAAATGAAAGTCAAAAATCCAGACCCAGGTTTGCTCTTTTGCTCTCAGGGTGATGGCAAAGCTGCTCGGACACATGTTTTATCTCACGTTTGAGATAGAAAGGGAAAAAACAACAAACTGGTCCTGCAGAACTAACCGCTGTATCCTGTAGCTGCTCCTGTGTGTTTTTTAGCATGACTGTAAATCACCTCATCAGGATTCTCGCTTTAGTCTAACTGTCAGGTGTCCTGTCTTTGTATCATCATACATCATTCACTGAAATGTCTTCATCTGTGGGAAGATGTCAGACCAAGTCTCTTAACCAAATCTCTGGTATATATTAGGGCGTAGACGTCAGAGCGGCTTGCTCAGGGATTAATTGTAGTTCATTTGTAGAGACGCGAAATGTCAGCGAAGAGAATAATTGTTGTTGTTTTAGTCGTGAGTTGTGCATCTGCGCTACGTGCGTATACTCCAGGGTGACAGCAGATATAGAAACACACACCTTCACCCTGCACAGAGCACATGTGGGATGCTGCAGAGTTTTATTTAGCTGCCAGTCTGTTCTCTCATAATCATGTACACAAACACACACAGAGACACACAGACACACACAGACACACACAGACACTGCGAGTCATCCGTGTCGCCTCCTGTGTTGTAGGTTTGTGTGGGTTATAGTTTGCCATGGTGATGACTAGCTACACAGCTTTATCAACACACAGACAGACACACGAGCGCGCGCACACACACACACACACACACACACACACACACACACACACACACACACACATTTAACACCTTGTTATATGTCAGCCCTCCTCCAGCCCATCTGTGTCTTGTTTGTTGCTTAAAGCTTCTTTTTTTTCATCTTTGACTGCATATTAAAGTCAGACAACCTCATCTGAACTTGTCACGGAATAACAATCCAATCACAGTTATTGATCAGGACGTAATGATTGATTCACAAAGTTACGCATACTGCTTATGTAACATTAGATATACACATCTCATCTGAACAGACGAACATTGTTATGTAAGGACAAACTACGCAACAGATGGAATGTAAACTGAACAAAATGTAAATGAAGTGAATCGGACAAATAGATCTTCAGAGTTTGAAGTGAAGCAGATTACCTTCGTGTCATTGAGGACGTGTTAGGGCTTATTTCCAGTCAGAAACTACTTATACAAATTCACCAAAACAGCAAAATGTAAATGTTGTTTCAGGACTTAGATTTTGATCAGTTATGTGTCACGTTTTGCTTTTCTGCTTGAATCCTGGTTTACACTGCAACAGAATTTTTCCAAAGTCTCCTCCCTGGAACCACGTTTTAAAAGTCTGTGTTTTCAGCATCCAAAAACACTAATCACTAATCACAGGAACAGTTAAATACACTGTTTTCTGTTTGATGATTCTGTGTAAACCACCTCCAAGATGCCAGAATGATCAAGTTATACTTCAGCTTTTTGTTGCCTCAGGTTTGAGAAAAACGAGACGGCGACAGAGCAGAGGTTTGAACTGAAAACTAAACCAGGTTATAGTAGGGCTGGGCGATATGACCTCAAATCAATATCACAATATATTGATCAGTTCACCTCGATAACGATAAATGGAAGATAACTAGTCTACAAGCTGCTCGCCATCAATAGAATAATTAATCAAGAAACCTGATCTGATTTATGTCTTTTTTGTGACTGTTTCTGGAGTAGATGTTGGTCTCTAATTCACAGACACACAAACATATGTCTTCTCCACTGCAGCGGCCACATTAGTAAGTTAATAATCAGCTCACTTCTTTTCAGTCCGGTCTCATGGAGTGTTTCACATCTTTTCTCTAACGGCGTTATCAACCACGTCTTTTTTTGTCTGCAGTTTACAAACCTTTTATCAGAATGAAAGGCTGTTAATAAAGTCTGTAGATGAAGGTCCTCCGTCAGAGATGAATCTTTGATTGATGCTCCTCTGCATCTTTGAAGTGTTGCAGTACACAACTGTGTGTGTGTGTTCATTAATGTTCACACAATGTATGCGCACGTGTGTTCAATACACTAGAGGTCGAGTCAAAGTGCTTTAAAGTTTATTTGAAGGAAGTTCAATTGGTCTTCAAAGAGCAGGAGGCCTGGTGTGAGCCTGGGCCTGGTATGTGGCACTAACTGTTCCCCATACCATCCCAGTATATGTGTGTGTGTGTGTGTGTGTGTGTGTGTGTGTGTGTGTGTGTGTGTGTGTGTGTGTGTGTGTGTGTGTGTGTGTGTGTGTCTTTCACATGTATCTGCCTTTTCCCAAACTCATTCACAGTACCATCCATCTATCCGCCCATCTGTGAACAGCGTGTCCCTCCAGCTTTTCCTGCACAAACAGGCCCATTAGTGTTAATACAAATACTGCTGTTCGTGTGTGTGTGTGGGTGTGTGTGTGTGTGTGTGTGTGTGTGTGTGTGTGTGTGTTTTGTATGCTTGTTAATTTCCTCTCTTAAGTACTGACCCCCCGACATGTCTGACGAACGTGCCCCTTGTTTTAATTACTCAGTGACGACCTCATTCAGGGGGAAATTATGTGCCACTCACACTCTTTTCAAGTCTCAATCATCCGGTACGAAAAATTAACTTTGCTCAAGGAAAAAAATTAAAAAACATTAAAAGTCAAATAACTAAACTCTTACCACTTAATCACCTGGTTTGATTGGCCCTGACTCAAGTAGGCCATTACTCTTATTGGACAACAGCTGGACTTCATATTTATTTATTATGATAAATGATAAAGAGTGTAAAATCTTATCCCATCGTACCGTACAGTATCACGGCTTGATTTTCTGTGTCCAAGCTCAGTAGTCGAGTCGCTGTTTTTTGCAGATGTTTCCTGTAAGCCATTCAACTGGTTGTTTATCTGCCTCCTTTTGTGTTTGTGTTTGTGTGTCTGTTTCCCATGTGAGGGTGTGGGTGTGCGTAGTATTCATCCCTATCAGAAAAGGCCCTTCACTCATTGAGTCATTAAAGGCTGGATGAGCTCCTGGTTCACTCACTCCTGCTCTGCATTGTTCTGGATTGGACAGAAAACCGGTGACTAATCCTCTGATCACACTGAAGCAGAGAACAGCTGGGCTCGACTCCATCATGGTGACAAATATTAAATCAACATAATTGTGTTTTTGTGTACTGTCACTGCTGCTGTGACTCAGTTTACGAGAAGAATATTTCACCGCGCTGTGACAGACACACTCTGTTTACATGTAGACTATTTTCTTGGGTTGAAATGAAGCGAAATAAGATATATTTTTTGATATTGTCACGCATCAGTGTGGAGCTCTAAAAGGTCCAGCAGGAAGGATCGTGTCTTGGCAAAGTTGTGAAGCATTTTGCTATCGCTTCCTAGAATTAGCCTAATCCCACTTGGAGTGAAAGAGTGGGATTAAGTGCTGGGTAATTGTGTTAGTGTGAGCATTAATCACCTCACAATGTGTTTGTTATATCATTTATGTTGTATGTGTCGCCAAAAATAAAATATTGCTCATGTTAGGAAGATGCATAACTGCTGATCGATCTCAAACTCTGACTCTGGGTCTTTATCTGGACAAACAGTCATCAAGAGAGTTGTTTACAACCTCATCTGAGAGGACGTCTTTGTCTTCTTTATCACCAAATGAGCCCCTGAGATCCTCTCCACCTTATTCTGCTGGAAAGGATGAATAACGCATTACATCTCCAGAATGAAGTGGCCGGTCTCGGCTGAATGAGAAACTCTGATTTAGAAGTTTTTCCGTAACAAAATATGAATGTGTTTTTGTCCCGAGGCTATCGGTGAGTCATAGGGAGCCATTTTATCTTTTAGATGAGCTGTCAGCGGCTCGCTATTCACTCCTCTACATCGCTGTGTGTGTCGGTGATGACTAATGCACTCTAACTAATGGAGCTGCCTGTGTAAGGCTCAATCAGAGCGGCTCACTCACATCCTTAGGTAATCACGGCGAGAGTTTGCAGCTAACCATGTGTTCATATTTGTGAGCAGGTTGTTGAATTACCGGCTAATGTGGATTTATGATGCAGGTGTGGTTTTAGTGTTTCTGGTTTAATGAAAAAAACAACAACATTGTTTTATATTTGGTCATGTCCTCTGTGATCTCTAACTCGGCTGTTTTACAACTGAAAGATCAGGTTCAGTAGAGAAAGAAGGATCCTCAGAAAACTTTTGATCATTCCCGATTAAAGACGTTACCTAAAATTGTCTCGCCTGAGTAGAAATATCAAAAAACCCTTGACTTTTTCCACCGAGCTGCAGATAAAAAAAACAATCGAGTCTTTTGATATCAAGTTATCAAGTCTGTGGTGAATCTGAGATCACGTAGTCCTACTTTTTGCGATAATACTTTTGAACTTTACTCGCCTGAAGTATCTTAACACATTTTCTTTTACATAGAAATAAGCTGAAGTGTGATTTGCAGACAGGTATCACAATAAAAAAAGTTTTTTTTTCCTCCTGTTTTTCTAAAATCAGAGGTCGGTCGTTGTGTTCGATGGGAGGAAAGAGCAAAAGAAAAAACGTCCATGACATTTTTAAAAGTCTTTGCAACAAAAGCTCACTTTAAGTGTTTTCAAGTCCGATACTTCACTCCTCCAACAATAGTCTGCAGATTTTATGGGGCACAAAACTCTCAAAATTCTACAAATTTTTCTTGCAAAACACTGAAATAGAAAATGCAACTGGATTCCCTTGTCTGTGTGACCGAGGTGTTTTCCATACCCTGCTTTTCGAGTTAACATTTAAGCGTTTCACGAACCTAAACACTAAATCTACATTAGAAAAGTGTTTTCTTTGTGAATGAAGTTTGATTTTATAGCAGATAGGTACTACAACTCTCCTGTGAGTCAACTTTCTTCCACTCATCACGGTCTCTCAGAGCTTCCTGGTAACCGCCCACCTCAGCCTCTCATTCTCACTAACTTTATTTAAGCCAAACTAATCACCAACAGTCATCACGTCTCAAATTTGATTAGCTTTGATTTACTTGTAATCCCAAACTCCGACGCCAACTGAGCTAACGAGCTTATTTAGTGTCCACGTCCAGTGAGCCCACAGGTCCATGGGAAAATAATGAGCGTGGTGATTTGTTGATCATTTTGGTAGCAGTGTGAATAATGACCAACTGGCTCCGAAGCTGTGAGTCAGCTGGAAAAATGTGCATAATAGTAGTAGTGGTTATTCATGGTTTCACACTTTGAGACGTTTGGCTGTTCCTAATCAGAGGTTGACCACATGTTAGTGATGAAAAGTGTTTCCAAATACCGACGCTGTGGTGAAGATAACGCTGTTTCTGTTCTCCTCTGCAGATATTACTACAACAAGAGGATCCTTCACAAGACCAAAGGGAAGAGATTCACCTACAAGTTCAACTTCAACAAACTCGTGCTGGTTAACTACCCCTTCATCGACATGGGCTCAGGTATGAACGCTCTTACAAAATGTTTTTGTCTTTTTGTCAGTGCGATCACTGACCTGTACAAGAGAGGATAAGGGCCACATGAAGAAAAAAAAATACAGGAAGAAAATATAAGTAGAAATTCCGAGATTTAAGTCGAAATTTCATCTTAAAAAAATCGAAATTATGTCGATAAAGTCGAAATTTGGAGATTAAAGTTGAAATCTAAAGATTAAAAATTAGAAATTATGTCAATAAGGTTGAAATTTCAAAATTAGATTCAGAAATTATGTCATAAAAAGTCGAAATGTCAAGAAAATTGTCGAAATCTAAAGATTAAAACAGAAATTATGTCAATAAAGGTGAAATTTCAAGATTAAAGTTGAAATTTCGGGATTAAAATTTGAAATTATGTCAATAAAGTCGAAATTTCGAGATTAAAGTTGAAATTTAAAGATAAATACATAGAAATTATGTCAATAAAGGTGAAATTTTGAGATAAAAATTGAATTTTAAGATTAAAGTAGAAATTTGAGATTACAAATGTGAACAGTATGTAAATTTCGAGATTAAAAAAAATTACAATTTTGAGATTAAAGTTGACTTTCTGTGGAAATGAAACTTTAAAAAATCTCCCTCCTGTTATATTTTTCTCTCTTCTCGTGACCCGACTCCTCTTGCGTAGATCTGCTATGATGATCTTTGTAGGTAAAACCTTTGAGTGGTTTTGCGCTCCATTCTGAGCACAATCTAAACACTCAGTTACATATAAATGAATCCTGTTCCACATCACATTTTCAGCCATATTTGAGCATCCGCTCTCAAAAAGACGCCTTCTCAGCAGACAGAAATGGGTGTCGTGTGAACATATATGTTCCTGGTTAGCGTTTGAAGACATGAGAGCGCCACGTCCCGGGTTATCCTCCTCCTCCCACCCCTCAAGTCGTCTGTTGCTCGAGCCCCGGCCACCCAGAGCAAACACAGCCCATATGGAGCATTGGATAGCGGGTGACATAAGTGCAGCACGAAACTTTAATTATAGCCTGTGTGTGATGTGGCCCACACACTGACATGTTGTGATATGATGGTTTCATACGATGGTTACACACACACACACAAACACACACGAGCCCACGTCAGTCTGGATTGATGCGCAAGCAGAGACCCTCACAGACCCACACTTTCTCCTCATGGTCTCTGACACACATGGTTGTTATGTGTGATTTTATAAACACACACAGACACACACACTGGAAAAAAACAGAGGAACCCAACCCATGTTTGTGATGGCAGTCGGAGCCACTTTTCCAATATTTAATTCTGGCACGTGCGCAGATGCCAAGAATTTATTGCAGTGCCACAGTCTCCCTGGCAAGAGAGCGAGGAGGAGAGGAGGGGTTGAAAAAGGAGGGAATTTGTGGCTTTGTGTAACCCAGTGTTTTCGTTCGGAGCGCCTGTGACCCTCTGGGTAAAATAGCTGGAGTTATGAAAGACATGTGACCCGCTCTCATCAGTGACTTTTCCCTTTTCTCTCAAGCTTTAAAATGTCAGGATACATCAATTACACACATCTCTCATCTCACACAGCTCTTGTATCTCCTCCTGCACACAGAAGCAAAAGTTCTGATCGCTCACAAATCAGAAGCAGAGATTTGAAGATTCCACACAGGATCAGTCCAAAAGAGAGAGACTACCTGCATATCTTGAAAGCTGATATCTCAAAACCAAAATATAACTCATGTGTAGACACAATCAGAGATACAGGAGGAAAACTGTTTATTACAAATTCCAGATAGCAGAAGTCATAACATCATCGTCTCTGAGCTCAGCGCTGCTCCTCCAGCTTCTGCGGCTCAGAACGATCTATCACAGAGAATCTTTTTCTCTTTTTTTGTGGAAAAAGAAAATCTGTTTCTGTCTATGAGGATAAATGAGCAGAAATGAGTAAATTTGGAGCTTTAAATTCGATGTCTGAACTGAAGTAGTTTCTGAAAAATGAAGGATGATGGTTTTCAAACATCTCTGATCGATCCCAGCAGTCATCCGTCTGTTAGAGTTTTTGAACTGACTGAATCTTTTTGTTTGTCCTCACAGGTCGAGGAGTCCCTCAAAGCGCCCCTCCGGTGCCAACAGGAGGGACTCATTTCCGTTTCCCCCCCTCCACGCCATCAGACGTCCTCTCCTCCAGCGAGGAGCTGCGCAGCCCCGGCATGTTCAGCAGCGTGGCTCGCCGCATGGCCCGCGGTTCCGTGAGCGACTGCAGCGACGGCACCTCCACCAACTCTGAGCTGGAGGAGGCCGTAGGGGCCGACGAGCGAGGCGTGGGGCCAGAGAGGGCCTTCAGGGGTCTGCTGCCTCCCCGCCTGCCTCATGATTCTCTCTTCAGGGTCTACGGTGGGGGCCCCAACCCAGCAGGGCTCCCCAGGCCGGCCCCCAGGGTTCACCCCGAGCCTCTGTCTCCATTCTCTGTCTCCCCCCTGCCTGGCCCCGGGGGTCTCCTGGCTCCTACTCTGTCCCCAGCCCTATCCATGACCCCCACCCCCCATCTCTCCTACACCCCTTCCCCCTCCCTGTCCTCCCCCATGATGGGCTCCCACTTCTCCTTCAACCCGGAGGACATGAAGCACTACCTGCAGGCCCACACCCAGTCCGTCTACAACTACCACCTCAGCCCCCGAGCTTTCCTCCACTACCCCAACATCGTCATCCCGCAGCCCCACCGCCCCACCCTGGAGAAGCCGGCCGCCCATCACCTCCACGGCCCGCCTCTTCCGCTCTCCCATTCGCTCAGCCAGCAGTCAGGAGGCGTGGACGAGGGGCAGCACCCGTCACCATTCAAGTTCAAGCTGCAGCCGCCTCCGCTGGGCCGCAAACAGAGAGAATCAGGGAGCTCATTGGCTGCTTCATCCTCCTCCTCTTCCTCCAGCCAGTCCACCTCATACACAGGGTCTGCTCATCTAAACAACAGCGGGCCTCCTAAGATCAAGGTGAGACCACCAGCACACACACACACACACACACACACACACACACATACATGATAGTCGCTGAATCAGACGTCACTCATGACATGTAACTACGTTTCTCCTTCAGGTGGAGCCCATATCTGACATCGAGTCAGAAGAAGAGGTGGAGGTGACCGACATCAGCGAGGAAGATGAGCTCAATCACATTGACGAGGAAGAGGAAGGCGGCATCTTCACCCCAACAGCTCGTCGCAATCGTCATCAGCTCAACAACCATCACCAGGCCAACGGGAACCTGCGCGGCCTCTCTGCTCCTCCGCACACCAGCCCCGATGAGGATGATGACGAAGACGTCTTCAAAACTCCCGCCACTCCTCCCATCGGCGGCGGCGGCCCTGCCTTCCCTCTGCTCAACCTGAAGAGCGAGCCGGGTCAGGCGGCTCCCATCAGCCCCGGAGGCACGCGCTGCATCCCGCTCAAACTGCGCTTCAAGCGCCGCTGGAGCGAGGACCAGAAGATGGAGGCAGATGGAGAGAGGGACGAGGCGGAGGACAAGAAAGTGAGGGCTGACGGAGAGGAGGAGATGGAGGAGAAGAGAGAGGAGGCGGGGAGGAGAGGAGGAGAGATGGAGAACGGGAGAGGAGGAGGAGGTGTTATTCTGGGGTTGATGCTGCCACCGCCTCCAACCCAACGCAGAGCGAGCTCAGAGCTGCAGCGAGCGACTGCACAGCTGTCTCTGGAAAACACCAGCTGCTGAGTTTTATTATCTCCCACAGAAACACACAGAGGGTCTGAATCCTGCTCGTGAACCTCAAAGATTTACATCGACCATAATGTCTCGGAGCTTTTCGCTAAACTGCGTCTGAACGTCGTATAAATCTAAATATGTGGATGGATCTTAAGTAGGAAGTTGTTTTTGGCCGATTTTGACAGACTTCTCAGCTCCACAAGCTCAAAGTTTCCCCTGAAAACCTGTTTGCAGCATCTTGTTAGGAGTTAAGTGTTCATGTGTGACGATCAGTGAGCACAGACATCCTCAGGACCTCAGCGACCTTTAAATTCATGTTTATAACAAATCTGAACGACTGTAACTGTAGTTTAAAACGCTTTAATGACAGTAAAAGAATCTCAGAGCCTGCTGGACACCGAGAGCTCCTGCGTTTGTTTCATCCTCGTTCATTTTGTCATCTTGTTTCTTCAGCAGAAAGCTCCCTGACATTATGGTCCGTGTAAAACCACGAAACAGAAGCGCTGATATGTAGCCTCTGATTTCCTGTGAGGTGAGACACTGTCCACCTGTGTCCCTGTCCAACATGAACGCAGCAGCAGAGACCGTTTCGACATCAGACCCCTCGTGAAGGGTTGAGTCTGTTCTTGATAGATTTGAGAAATTTGCAGATTGCCTTTTTAACGCCTCATCCTCATCGTCGTGCCAGTTGTGCCATAAATTTGCCAGAGATGGATTTGTATCACGCAGAGCTCCATGTAAAGTCTATTTTAACACATGTACCTGAAGAGTGACAGGGCTGTCTCACCTGTACAGACGTAGATCTGATTAGTCAAAGGTGATGACCACTCCTCCAGGAACTCCTCCTCACCTCCTCCTCCATTATCTCCTCGTTTGTTCTCACCATAACAGATAGACAGACCGTCAAGTTACTAAAAACACTTTGAACAGCCCTGATAGAGATTACAGAAGTGCCTCTCTGTCTGCAGCCGTTTACAAGATGGAGGGCAGTGAGAGAATAAAAAAAGAACTTTGCTCTGATGGATCCTGAAGACTTTAGTCCTCCAAAGAGGCGACCAGAAAGAACTCTCCAATCACAGTCTTTTCTTGGACACTATGAGGCTGCGGTCCCTTTCACCAGCTCATCACTACAGTGTAAAAAAAGAGACTTCAGATGAGGGTCAGACCCTGAGAAGATGTCGGTGTAATCTGCCCTCTCACTCGGCATTGATAGACTTTTGGAAGCCAGATTATCTGAGGTGGTTTCCTCTGTACAGAAAAAAAAAGAAACCTGACTCTCCGAGGAAAGCGCCGGATTCTTCAGCTCCTTTCCTTGTCACTTGTGAGGAAACGAGGGAGCAGCTTCTTGCAAAAGGCTGTAATTACACACACTCGTCTCCGGATGTGTTTGTGTGTGTGTGTGGACCCAAAGCCTGGAGGACGTAGAGGGCGTCCCCCCGCTCGACTCCGCACAATCTCTGAGGGGTAATCTTCGTGTTTCGTCCCTCGAACGTCAAGAACAACGGCTCTTTCCTGCATTCCCCCGTTCTTTTCCGATATTTCCCGATGCTCGTGCCTCGCAGAGACGTGGACAGTATTTTTGGGCATTTGCAGTCATCTGAGGACTTTTAATCTGTTCACGAATGATTTTAGTTTTTGTCGAGGGAGATCGGAAACTAAATACTGAATGTCGAGCATTAAGGTTAACTCAGGCAAAACTTCACTGAGACATGGAGAAACAGCTTATTTTTTACTACGACGATGTTTTATTCATTTTGTTTCAACAGAAGAAAAAAAAAGCCCATTTTAATGAACAAAGAACAAATAAGATTGTGCCTTTTTTAAAGCCAACATGAGTTTTATCGAACACCCCCAGCGAAACGTTTTCCCCACACTCACACTGAACCAACATGCCTTCAGCTTTTTGTAAAAGAGAGTAACAGAGGAAGTGAATCGACACATATATATTTTATTCAAATATATATTGAGCTCAAATATTATATTTCAATATGGTCATTTGATACGAATCAGAGGAGACTCCTACTATTTTTAATGGTCAAGATTTGTATATATTCTATTGGGCATATTATTATTATTATTATTATTACCAGTATAATTCAGCCTTTGCCTTCACACCCTTGCCTTCTCCTGACCGTTGAGCTGCAGTGACAAAAGGCCGCCAGTGTCAGAGTTTTATATTTATAATGTAAAAATGAAAAAAAATAAAACAGTTGTTGTGTATTCAGGGGAAGAAACGAGCAGAAACATTCACCCCCGGGTCAGGGTGTGTTTGTTTTAGCTCGCCGAGAGTGGCACCCGGGTGGAGTTTACACATCAGACAGACGTAGATTACTGTTTTTGTTCATATTTTGTTTAAACCCCACAGACCCACATCTCGGTAAAAGGCGCAGGTTTTTTTTTTAACAGGACTCTGATGCAGCTTTGGTGTTCAGGGTCGATCGATTCTGATTGGACGACAGAGTTATGCAGCCGGCTCAGGGCCACAGCTGCTGATATAACCGGACTTTAGTTTGAGTGTGGACTCTGAACCTGAGCAGCTTTGTGTGAACCGAGTGCGTATGGGCCGGCCTGAACCCTGCCCACACACACACACACACACACACACACAGACCAGAGCGTCCTGGTTAGTGAGGCTCTTTGCTGTGGCTACAATAAAGGGAAACATGACATCAAATGTGACATCAGCCCCCACAGTCTCTCTGGAGTAGATGGCGAACCATAGAAACTACGCACTTACACTACTAAACACACATTTACACACACAGACACACACAGGCAGAGGAAATGACATCACAAAACCTCTGAAGAGAAAGGGACTTCCCATAACCGGGCTCGCTCAGCTTTTTCTCTTTGTGTGTGTGCGCCTGTGTGGTTTCTATGGTTATGCCTTACACACACACACACACACGCACACAAAAGAAAAAGTGAAATCAGATAAAGTCTCAGTCCGCGTATTTCGCCCCCAGCTTGCTGAAGTGTCTTGTGTGTGACCTAATCTCACTCTTTACTCCAATCTTAACGGTGAAAATCAAATCTAAGATCGTCCCTCTCATTGACTCGTTGATATCGCCCTCAGCTAACCGAAGGTCAGACCTCCTAATTATCGGCAGAAAGCGCAAAAGAAAATCTAGTCGGACAGACGTGAAAATCACTGAGCTGTACCTGAACGTCACACCTGTGCTGCCTTACCTGTCTTTACTCTAAACACAAGGATAACTGCTCCCTGGTTGGTTGATATTTCAGCCTTTGACCACGTTCCTCTCATTTTCTCCTGTATTTTTCAGACATATTACTGTTACTCTTGTAATTATTATATTATTAACATGAGTATTTTTTTATTCTTTTGTACCCTCTTGCCATGGCCCTCCTTCATGATTTCTCAGATTTCTGTGAGTTTTATTTTTGATCCACTTTGCACTCTTTCCCATGAAACAGTTGGCTCCAGCGCAGTCTTTTATTTAGATTTTTGTATTTACCATGATTTTATAACCATGTAACCATGGACAAGAGGAGGGTCACATAATCCCCACATGATATACAACAGGGGGAGAAACATTTGTTTTCTTTTTTTTGATGTTGTGTATATATATTTTTTCATTTTGGAGGATTCTGTATGAAAAAAAGAGCTTTGTACTGTTTAACCATGTATTATTTGAAATGTCCTCTCTCTGGTTCTCCTCCGTCTCTCCTCTCTCGTCCACCTCGAAGGTGAGCTGTCACTCCAGAGGAGAGGCGGAGACGTTTTTGTTTTTGTCATGGAGGAACCGCCTGTACTTCTGTTTCTCTTCTATCTGTTCATCTTCATTTGTAATTAAACAATAATCAGGGTTCATTAAAAAAGGTTAAAATGGACGCAAGTGTCTTTGTGCTTCTTTCGCCTGAAATCACTCGTAAATGATTTTAAAGGACATCTTTTAATCTAGTCTGACGGGGAGTTTAGTGATGTCTCTCTTTGTCCATCTCATTCCCATTCATATCCAGGAAAATAAAGACTGATAACATTTGCGGTAAAAGACGAACAGGTTACCCAGGTTACACCAAAAATATACTCAAAATGATAAATGCTGGCGGTGCTTGGTGGAAAAGAAAAGAACATGAACCGTAGCGAGTGTCCCCAGTCGGTATGTCATCCAGGTATACTCAATTTTCGCATACTATCCATACTTTTTTCCATTTCAGTTAAGTATACTCTAAATTTGAAGTATGTAGTACCGGAAGTATGCGATGAGTAGAGTTGGAAACACCACACGTCTGTGTAATAGTTTGATTTTTATGTCCTGTTAATAATCCACTCAAACATTTGCATAATTGCAGCGATACACAGAAAAGTAGAGCTGTTCGTAAAAGTGATCTACGTGTTAATCTGATTAGTATTTAATGGATTATTTCTGATCTAAATGCAAAGTTACTCTAAGCCTCTTAATTGTGAGACTTTATTTGCTTTTATGTTTTCAGGGAATATTTAGGGAGTTTTATCTGACAGGACGGTTTAGGTTCAGGCATCAGTTGGAGGAAAAAACAACAGGTACACACACACACACTCACTCACACACACACACACACACAAACACACACTGACAGACCTGCATCGCTGAGTCAGTCCTCTCTGTTCTTTCATGCCGGTGGTTTTTGCATTCAGCAGCGCCCCGTCCTGCCAAGTCTGCCTCTCTTCATGACTCAAGACATGTAAACAGCCAGTCAAGCGCTCTGGATCTGTCGAATCCTGTGACGATTTATGAAAGAAAAGCCATCCTGTAACAACAAGTGTTTTCACTCTCTCACAATAAACCTGGGGCAGATTTTATTGTCCCCACCTGCCAGGAAAAGGCCTTGATGGCCTTTGTTTGTTTTTCAGTGTGTGTTTTTGTTGCTAACCTTCTCCATGAGGTCTGACCTTCTACTTTCTATTCAGGCGCAGAAAGTTGTTTGGAACTTACAGCTGATTTTTTTTGTGCAGCTCTAAGTTGTATTTGAAGCCCTTTTAAGTGAAGCAGCAGTTCCACTTGGCCCTGTTTCTTAATCCTTAATCATCATCATCAGTTTTTATGGTCCCTGGATGTAGAAGAGCCTGCCGGAGAGCCTCAGGGCCACAGAGACTGTTGATGTTTTTAAGAAGAGGCTCAAGACTCACTTTTTTAACCAGGCTTTTTACTAACTGTCATTTTAAATTTCTCTCATTTTAATCAAAGTTCTTCATGTTTATTTTACGTCATTCTATTCATTATCTCTGTTCTTAGTCCTTTTCTTAATCTCCAGTCACAGGTTCTTACTTCTTTTACCCCTTTTACTTATTTGTTCATTTAATATTATTATTTTCTTATTTTAGTCCATCAGGTTTTACTTTTTTCACCATTTCTATCTTTATTTTTATCTCCAGTGTTTCCTAAAGGTAGCTCTTTCCTCATGTAATGTCTCAGTGTCAGGCCATATCTCTTTAACAATATATCTTAAATTCTCACACTGTGTGCGGTTGTGTGTGTGTGTGTGTGTGTGTATGTGTGGGTGTGTGTGGGTGGGTCCATGGGTGTGTGTGTGGGTGGAAGGGTTGGGTTTTTGTCATTTTTGTTGTTTTTAGTCTCTGTGAGGCACTTTGAATTGCATTTCCTGCCATATAAATAAAGTTGAATTGATTTGAATTGAATTAAAATTGAACTTTAATTGTTTTGCTAACTATTTCCACCATAAACCCCCAGAGATCCACCCACCTCCTGTTTTTACTTCACACTAGAATTACTCACCAGACTGGCAAATCTCCTCCACGCAGGACGTGAGTTTATCTTCTGCTTCATCTCATCATTTGAATCAGACTCTCATGTTTGTGCCCCCTCACAGCTTCTCTCTGTTCTCACCAGAAGGGCAGAAACTGTACTCCAGGGTTTGTTTATGTCTGAAGTACTAAAAAATATGATAAAGTTTGTATGTTTACTCACAGAGAATTTACGTCTCAATGATTGTTGTCATCATAGTGACAGTTGCATAAATTATAATTTGTTTTATGATGGCAGTAAAGGAGGGGAAAATTCCCATCATGTAACTTTCTCAGAAGAAAAATGATGTCTCCACTTGGTTCGTCTTTTTCAGTTAACTTAATTTACAGTCGGAGATGGCGAACTAGACCAGAAAATCTTCACATTAGAGAGGATGGGTACAGTTTGTTCTTGTATTAGAGTCATTTGAGTTATATATCTGATTATGAAAACGTTGTTCTGACAAAAACATCACAGCTTGTTTAAAACAACCGACTCTTCTTTATGTTTCTGTTGTGTTATTTGAAAACCCTCATTAGGATGAAAATCTACCTCAAATTTGTCTATATTCAAACACATAGATTCTGATATAAAGACCAGCAGTGAATCGCTACTTTTTTTTTCACTGAACCTCTGGCTCCCCCTGCTGTTACATTTAACAAGTACAACAAGCTCACCGCGTATTCCCGTGGACTCTCGCGAGATTTGCTATAAAAAGGCGGGATAATATGTAGGACTGCATACTCAACAATATACCCGTTAATGTCTTCTCTAGCGCCCCAATCCGACTGAAAATAACACATTCAAGAGAAAATCTCTTCACAAATGAAGGTAATATGAGGGGAATACGGTAATATTTAATTTTTAACCCATAATAAATGTCTAAACTTTAGCTAATGGTAAACATTTAGTTTGGCATGAAAAGGAGCCCGGGGTTCTGTCTGTTTGTCACTTTTTTTGTAACCTACATTATTTAATGATGAATTAGACTCCTCTTAAACTGTATGAGTCACTAATATGACTCTGACTGGGTTGTTGGGGTTCGGCTCTTTTCTATACAGTATGTGAAACATCCAGGCCCAGAAAGTGTCAACTCCATATCATACATCAGAAAACAGCTAGCCTCTTCAACCGTTATGAACAGCTTAGGCTTCCGGTACTTTCAAATGATTTTCACCAATTTATATTATAGAATTGTGTATTTGGTTTGTATCATAGACTGGATATAGAATGGACACTGTCTGCCTCCTCGCTGGGTGAAGTATAGGTCATAAGTCCCGACTCCTCCAGCAAAGCTTATGGGGCTGTGGACAAACTTTAGAAATTTATTACACAGAACGGTCCCTTAAGTTTTGCTGGCGGGATTTATGACCTATACTGCAGCCCGACACCAGAGGGTGCTGTTCTCAGAGTGGCTTCACCCAGCAAAGAGGCAGACGTGTACATTCTATATCCAGTCTATGATATTAACTAATATCGAACAGTGTTCCCAAAGATGTTTGGCTGGACGCATGCGCATAGACACTCCGTACATTGATTTGACAGATCTGCTTTAAAAGCTTTAAGATAAAACCCTTATTCCTTTTTTTAAAATAACTAATTAACCTTCATTTTTTTCCAACAAAGAGATAAAGGAGACACAAAAAGCGAAATAGGAAGCAAGAAATATCAAATCGATGATAATGATCGATTGAGATTGTGACCGTTTATTTCTGTGTCTGTTTGCTGCAACTTCTTCAGTGAACTGTTCGGTAGTTTGGCTTGTGACTGCTCTGCCAAAAAGGAACCAAAAGTGAGTAATTCAGTTTACTCATGTCACTGTAATTGAGTAGATTTTCTGGATAATCTTGTACTTTAAAACTGTTATAGTTATTTATTTCTTTTGAGGGCTTCAGCGTCTGTATGGGTTGCACTCAGACCTCCAGACTTTAGGTGTCCCAACTATTTGACCCTTTAAGGGTTTTTTTTTAAATCTCTGTCTTTTCTTATTTTAAAATTCAGAAATCTGTTTCTAGTTTTACGAATAAGTCGCTTTGATTGTCCTCTCTCTTCCCTTCACCCCTACATTATGTCAGGAGCCTTCATCTGCCGCTGATCTTTACAGGGAACTTGGGGGTAATAAAAGGAGGTGATTGACAGGCTGTTTGGCCTCAAGCAGAGAGGGATTGTTGTCTGGCTGTGGGACGAGGTCACAGGTCACAGTCCAGAGAGCCTGAGACAGAAAGCAGATCACAACAGAAGGCTAATTACCATGCATCGTAGCTGGACTCCTGCTGGGACTCCTCCTTCACTCTCACCGGCAGGTCACAGTGAAAGTGAAAGCACAGGACCTCCAACATTTCCAACATGGTGAGGCACATGATTTAAAACTATGGAGGGGTTTTATATTATTTTATATCTTGGAAATTTGAGGGGGATTAAAAAGATATTTTACTTGGCTTAGAGCTACCAAAGAAACTCTGATATGCTGTTTTTAAGATATAAAAAATGAAGAGAAATCCAATAAAAATGATGAAATGACCATTTAATCATTTTCTTTTGTTTTGTAGTGAAGCAGGAGACATTCAAGATGAGGAGGAGCGAGAGGAAAAGGCATTTGGGCAAGAGCCCTGAAGAACATCAGCTGCATCAAGAACTCAGTGTTACACGAATTAGCAGGTAAGCTACCAAGATGTTCCCTTTTGATTAACTTTGGGCTAAATTAACACCTCAGTGAACAGCCAGTAGGTACTTCACGGGAACATGCGATTCTTAATCGAGTTATTTTGCTCTCCTCAGATCTACTCCAGCTAAAAAGCTAAAACAGTCATTTTATTCCATGGTCCTATTTTTTATTTTTATCTCTCAATGCAAACAGATATATAACTTAGCTTGATCCAAAAGATAGATAGATAGATAGATAGATAGATAGATAGATAGATAGATAGATAGATAGATTTAAACACTAAAGAATAAACGTGTCAAAGTCTAAAATCAGAGTGAAGCCTGGTCGGTCAGTCAGTCGGTGTGTGTGTGTGTGTGTGTGTGTGTGTGTGTGTGTGTGTGTGTAGGATTACACACTGACAGTTGAGTACCTGTGCAGCAGCAGCAGCAGCAGCAGCAGGCG